GGAGTCGCCAGAATGTAGGTGCTGCGTCGCTGATCCCAGTACAGGTAGGCTCCCGTTTCGTTGTTGTAGTAGTACTGCGAGTGGGCGTCGTAATAAAGACCCGTGGTCGGGTCGAAGTAGTACCCAGAGCTCTCATCGTACTGATAGCGGGACACATCGGGAGCGGCTGCAGGGGAGAGAGTTCTATGGAGCTTGGGGCTTGGGGATTTATGCCATTCACTTACGATAAGTCTTCCCATCGTTTCCTCTTGGGGCGATCACATTCTGGGAGGCAAATGTGGCTTTAATCTCGGCAGCTGCCTGGGCAGCAGCTATAGCGGCCGCTGTGGCCGTCGTCTCAATGTTGCTCATCTTCTTTTGCTTCCGTTGGATGGCCGAGAGAGCCACGGCAGCCCCGGAATTCGCTTCCGTCAGCTGAGGGTCTGAGTTACCGCTCTTGGCTATCTCTGCCGTGTAGTAGTCCGTGTAGTACTGAACATAGTGCGCCTGCTCCGCCGGATTGGAGGCATACAACGAGGCACTGTACTCCGCGAGCCGGGGAACGTCGGCCAGCGTATAGCTTCCACCAGCTCCTGAGGGTGCCACAGCTGCTATTGAGCCGCTTGGAATTCCTCCGCTGGCCGAACTCGTGGAGGTGGCAGCTGGCGATTCCTTTGGTAATTTCGGCCGATCATCAACGTCGACGCAGTAGCTAATGGCAACTGAAACGGAAGTGATTAGCGAATTGGATAGAAAATAGCCCGACGACACTTACCTTCACGGTCATCTAGGGTCAGAGGTGGATCCAGCGCGGTCAAGGCGTTGTGCAACTCCATTGAGTCAACGAGCGTGTCAAAGTGCAGATAGCAGATGCCTCGCGATGCCTGCGTTAGGGTGTCACGGCTGATCAGCACTTTGCTGACAGATTTGGCCAGCTTGGGCAGTAGCTGCTGCAGGGCAGTCAGCACGCCCTCCTCGTTGGTCAGGGCATCCAGATTGCGCAACATAATCTCTGCATGGGGTAAGCATGGCAGGTTAATGAGTGTGTTTCTTTGCTTTGAACAAAATGGCATTGCATGAGATTGGTTTTGGTTTGTATACTTTTTGTGAGGATTCGGGTGACTTCATCGATTCCTTCTCCACCGCCACAGAGGGCGTTCTCGCTTTCCTCGCGAGAGGCGCTGCACATGAAGCACTGGAAGCGGCGCTTAAAGTTGCTGGCACCACACTAAAAGAGCAAGAAAATAAACGATTTTGTGTTGTATTTTGATGACCGCCAGAACGTGTGGGTAGCTTGTAGCTTAATAAAAGCGGAAGCCTACTTCAGTCTGTCGGTATTCAGCAGTCACCTTCTCCTATATACATTTCCGAGATTCGGACTTAATCATACCCTTTGAGTGTTTAGGGTATTAAACACTTGCACATATGTATTTGTCATCTCGTAGGAAGAATTTGAATGAATGAGTATGCTCACGCAAGACTCGGACGCTCAACATTTAAATTAAGAGGCTCGAATTGTACAAGTGAGAATTGTTTTGAACGCATCCGAGTGTAGTCACTATTTGTAATACAAAAAATACAAAAGACCTCGCACTGATTCAATTACATTTCAATGGATGCTATTGGAATTATTTAGTGCGACGTAAATTTTACAAATTTACCCATATGCATACGGCTTTAAATTAGCGTAGACATAATGTAAACATTTTGAAAATTAATTTAATTACTAGGGGGCAAGCCCCCTGCGCACTGGCTGCACTCGTTTGCCAGCGCACTGACTGCAAAAACATTTGTCGCAGTAAAAATTCGGTTTTTAGGTAAATTTACTGGTGATTTAACTTTCAGTCGTAAAACGTATGGTTGCATGCCTGGAAAATCTAATAAGTTCAAAATCTCTTTTTGATAATTTAATCCTCATCGCAAACTGTATTGATCGATTTTTATGATACCGATTCGACTGGCACCAGCTTCTTTCTCTATCTTGAAATTTAAACATTTTTTCCTGCCAAAATTATTCTTTCTGCCAGTCAAGCATGATTTTAGTATGATGTTTGAACTTTTGGGCACACGCGATCAATGAGAACATTTAAAATTATCCAATTATTGTTTTAGAAATGTTTCAATATTTTATCGGATATTGGAGAGCGTCGTGCGAACGGTGTCTGTCAGCGGTGAACTCAAGATCATTGTTTCTACTTTGAATCACAATTTCACGTGCGGTCGCCAACGATTGACCCTGCAACGTTGTATAAAACAGTAGCTCTGTAGCTCAAGTAGACAGTGCCGCAGCCTAGGAAAAAGAGAACTCAAATACTAGTACCCTGCGCGTCCGTACCAAAAGCATGGAACGAAAATTTAAATTGGATTTTTTCCTAATGCAACATATTGGTATTTTGCAGCATTTTTATATACCTTAATACAAGTCCAGTCCGACATCCGTGTGTGGCTATATTGCATGGACACCCGGTGATCGCCCAACTGGAGAAAGCCCTAAAGAAGAGAAGGAAGAGAACAGTGTGATGGCGTATTAGTGACTGGAATGATTGGATCATAAGTTTCACAGGCTACACAGTCACCAGGTTGCTTCTGTTCTGTGTGTTTGCAACGCGCAGATGTCGCGCCGGATGTAGTCGCTGGCAGTTTGCTCCGTTCGATTACCGCTAAAAGTGTGAAATGATTACTTTAAGTTCAGTTCTCGCTCTGAACCATCCCAATTTGGACTAGACAACCAAACGAAACGAAACAGTCAGAACAGATGAAATGATGAGATGCTTAACTAAAGAAGGCGACGAGGAGAACTGAACTTAAAGCTCTGATTTCGTTACAGTTGATGCCGAGTTTTGATTAGTGCCGATTTCGTGGCTGAATCAAGAAGAGTCTTGTTGGTTGTTGTGATACCTTAGTTATTTCCATCCATTGTCTCGATTCCTCGACGGTTTTAAACTCGACAAATGCGAAACAGCGTGAGGCACCTAAATTTTAGATAGAAGCAGATACAGAAATGTTTTTGTCAAAATATGTTGTTGGTTGTTTCAATAGTTTTGTAACATTTTTTGGGGATTGCTTTTGGTTTATAGTGGAATTTTGTAGATGTTTGTCGTAAGCCAACTATTAAATGAATTGTATTTCCCGTTGATCACATTGCTGGGCACTCAATACTCACGCTCTTCATGTGGTCTTAGTCTAGCCTAATCATACGCGTATGTATTCGTATATAGCAAGTTCGTTGGCTATGTGACCCACCTGTAGGCTGCTTCCTCATCACTCGTATAGAAGTGGGCTCCATATTCACTTTGATCAGCTCGCCCATGATCTGCAAGGGTTACATTAAAATGCGCTCTTATTTCTGGTAGAACCTTCCCCTTACGTCTGCCTCGGTAACGTGCTTCTGAAGACCGAAGAGGATGATATTGTTTTGCGCTTCGTTGCAGGTCCTGTGATGCTTGCGACGATACTGGCTCTCGTCGGTCACATCGCTATCGTCGTCGGAGGAGTAGCGTCTCTCGCGGTCCCTTTCCCTGTCGCGCTCCCTGTTCGGCTGGGCGCTGTTGTTCCCATTGTTTCCATTATTATGATGCCGATAGTCAGCGCCCCGACTGAAAAGGTGGATCCAAGGGTTCAGTTGCAGCAAGAATTTGCTTCACGGAAGTCTTACTTGTTGCGCTCATTCCCCCGATCATAGTCGGAGTTGCGTTCCCGCGACTGGCGCTCATAGTTCTTCCAGCGGTGGTCGCGGTTGCTATCATAGTTATCCTCGCGCCGGTCGTAGTTGTCCTCGCCTCGGTGCTGACGATTGTCAGAGTTATTGCGCGAGTTGTAATTGCGCTCCTCTTGGTAGTCGTCGTCGATCAGGTCGCGATAGAGATCCTTGTCCTGACTGCCACTGCCGCTGCCGCCGGCATGTCTATTGTAATTCGAGGAACGCTCGCGGCTGCGCGAACGTGAATTGTGGCGTCTGTAGCCCCCGTGCTCTCGGTTCCGTTCGCTGCAAGCACATACATATTTCAGATCAATATTTACCAGTAAAGTACACACATACGTATGTATGTCGGGAGGGTTTCTTACCGTGAACGTGACCGGGATCGACTGTAGCGTCTGTATTGGCCCCCGCCGTGGTTTCCGCCGCCAACGCCCGCCACCACCGCCTCCACCGACATTTCCATTGCCACCGCCTCCGGAGAAGCCTCGACCGTAACGGGAATCCATATTACGCTAATCTGATACGAATCGGTAATTATATTTAATTATCTGCCCACATTCACACGCGCCTGTGGCCCTTTTGCCGAGCGCTAAAGGTAAACTTTAGCTAGTTACGTATTCAAATTTGCACATTTCTTACGTATTGTACGTTGCTGGGAGGACCAAGATATACTTAAAGGATTATCATTTCCCAAAGTCCGTTCAATGAGCGTGAATTAAAATTTTTACAACAAAAAGGCTGTAGAAAAATTCTCTGCCTCCTTTGCCAGAAACACAAAATCGATTACAAGTTATCGATACTAGACTGAGTGGAATGTGTTGCAAAGCGGAGCAGGGAAACTGTTATGCAGCACTTACAGCTGGTTGAAGAATTTTGGGGAAAATCCCCATCTAAATGAACATTTAAAGAGTTATTTAATATAATATAATAATACAGTTATTCAAGCATTTATTTCACAATTATATGTGTACTTTTTCAATAAACTTCAGGTAAATATACCGCTTTTGTCACATCCTCCTACGAGTATTTCGCGAGTCCTTGACTTATACCTGCTTGTTTTAGGTTAATAAACTTTTATCATAAATTCCTAGATAAGATTTGTTTTTATCAATAGTTTACGATGTTGGTGTGATTAGTCGTAGTGTGAGTGATCTAGAGATGAAAATATCAAAAGAATACTTTAGTATATTTAGGAAAATAAGGAATAAATCAGGCTCCTAAGTGATGTTTATATAATTTACTATAAAATATAACTCTTTTAATAAATAAAAATATCATTAAGATAACATTTAAAACACCGAAATTGATGTTTACAGTAATAGTGAAACAATCGCAGCATCGCACACCTCTAAAAACGTCAATGTCCGAGCGCTTGGCAACACTGTAAGTCACTCACTGAGTAGCGTGTCTTGGGGAAAAACCATTTTATAACATTTTACTTCGATCTAAACATAGACTTCCCCCGAATTTCAAACAAAATACAATCGTTGTATATATAACGTAACGTATAAAGTACAAACAATGAAGAAAGTGCTCTTAACGAAAACACAGCGCATACAGCGAGTGTCGAACGGATCAGACGTGATATTGAAGGCAACAGCGCCAGTTCGAGTTGTTACAGATCCCGTGCCTTTGAACAGCAACGCGTACATACAACGTAAATCCTTTCAGTCGGTTTACGGGGATATCTTCAGATTACTCATGCTTATACCAGATAAAGGTATGCAACAACGTGTTATCGATGCCATTAATGGACGGGGGGACAGCGATAAGACATCTGCTACTGCACCTACTTCGCATCTAAATAAACAGTGCTGTTGTGCTGCGATCAAAGTAGACGCATTCACACAAACAGATGATGAACCGAGGATACTATCGCCCATCACACCTAATCGAAATCATACGACGCCCAATTTAGTCGAAAAGTTGTTGATAAAAAATGATTCACCCGATTCGGATGTACCCAGTGGCTCCAGCCCCGTTCCTATTCCTAGTCCAGCTCAATCCAAGACGCAAATTGTTGGGAAAAAGCGTGGCCGTAAGCGCAACAACTGTGTGCCAAAGGTGGTCAAAGTATCCGCAGCTGAAATGAATCAGAAGGATCGGGACGATAAACAACTAACTCCCGTGGCAGCCAAGAAGAAAAAACTGGAAGTTTCTGTAAGTCAAAGTGTCCTCATACATCGATTTGCAAATGTGGATATTAATTTATAACTTTTTTATTCTCAGGGGAGCCCAGAGGTAAAACCAGCGATATTAGAGCGTCGCGATTCGAACATGACGGATGTATCAACAATATCAATCAACGTGGACGAATGTATCGATAGTGTCAATAGATTTATAGACGGTACGGAGTCGGATAATATCTATAAAATAATGCTTAAGGAGTTCAAGACGGCCTGTATTAAGTCCCCTCAAGGCCTGCTGTGAGTAATTGAACATGCAGCATGCACCAGCAGATGTGTAATTTTAGTTCTCCCCTCCCGTTTAGGCCCATCCATGATGCAATTTTAAAGGGGGACATTATGGCCGTTAAACGTCAGATTTTTGTTTACACCCATAGTAATATTAATATCAATGAAATGCTTAGCGATGAAGGTGAAGATTGCCTGGAACTCGCTCTAATGAATGATACTTATCCGGGAATGGTCACAACGCTATTAACAGCCGGCTGCTTGCCCAATCACATATACGAAAAATCCAATACGGCCCTCCATATAGCTGTCATCAACAACGTTGAAAGAGAATCGATAAGGGAACTAATGCTCAGCATTGATTTGAATCTACTGCTTCAAACCAACGATGACGGGTACACAGCTTTGCACTTGGCAGTGCGCCACAATCAGTACGACATTGCAGAGATCATATTGGACTGCATAGACGAGCGTGAATTGAATGGGCGGCAGCCAGTTTATCGAAGGTCAACAGAGACGCCAGATCCAAGGCTGACGCCAGAGAAAGCGTTTGCCAAATACTATGAGCGTGCTTGCGACAGACTGGAATCCACCAAGCATATGCTCAAGGATCGTCGATTGAAGCTGGAAATTCTAAATGCTGCAGAGTCGAGGGCGGGCAACACTCCGCTTTTCTTTGCCGTAGAACAGGAGCAAGGTGAGCTTATGGCAACCATTGCATAGAATAACATTGCATCATCATTATTTATATTTCAGAGCATTTTTGTTACTTCCTGCTGGCTCACATGTGCGATCCGGATCAAGAAAACTTCAACGGGCATTCCCCCAAATCGTTTCACTACGAATATGCTCGAATTTTGCGCATTAATTTGAAAATATCTCGCGTGATGGATAAAGTCATTCTTATTTTAAATGGTTAACGATAATTGTACAGATTCATTTCTTAAAATATTAATTGTAAATTGGTTAAAGAGTAAACACATTTAGGCCCAGTTTAGTTCAAAATTGGTTTTCTTCAGCTTGGCCAATTCCATTGGACGTAGGGACGGTGGTAAACCACTCTGATGGTATGTTTTCCAGGGCCATTTCTTTGGTTTTCGCTTAGTCGATTTGGATTTCTTCTGCGCACTGACTGCAGAACAGCGCAATAAATATTGAGTGTTTCCATATTTGTAATCATAATTTGTACGTACCTAGCTTTTCCAGCTTCTTGAATTCCGGTTCACTATAATGACCGTAATTGCAATATAGATCGAACTTGCAGTACCCATTAAAATAGCGCTGACATGGTTTCTTCAGACGCTCCTCTGCCAAAATCTTAGCGGGATCTAAGCATCAAAACATTAGTGGGATTCGGAAGGATACGCGTTACACCTACCTTCAAAGCGCCGCATGTAGCGGTACTTGGCCACCGTGTGAGATATGCCATTGTTGTGCAGCTTGCGCACATTCAAATCACTTTTCATAAAGCAACCGCAGTAATCACAATAATAACTTTGTCCCATTTGGTAAATGCAAGCAATGCAAGCAACAAACTTTTTGTCCTAGAGATGGCCGCCTGGAAAATGGCTGTGCCGATAGTGCTGCTCTCCATAGTGATGACAGCCAATTGACTATCATTTGCGCACTTTTTGCAAATTTTGATTGCGTATTTGCGAAATTATATTCTATTTTGTACTCTTTTTAGATATTAAATATTTTGTAGTAGCCATTTCAACATTAGCAGTAATTTTCATGACTGTCTGGACTATCTCAGACAATCCAGACTGCTAGTTTCTGCTCCGATATCAGCAAATATTTTTGCAACACTGCACCGCCGCGAATGGAGGTCGCTGACACCACCACTAAGTGATAGACAATTTGGCCAAAAGCCGGCGAAAAAGAGAAATTGCTGAGTTTTAAACCGTATATTTGAGGAATGGAGCCTACGCTGGACACGTATAAGCTTAGCTGTGAGCTGTTTGGCCACAGCTTGGATGTGCGCGCTGTTGCCGCTGGTGGCAGCACGCCCGAGGGCGGTCAAATTATTTTGTCTGGGTCTCGGGACAAGAGTACAAAGCTGTGGAAGCCAATTGGGTGCGTTGTGTGAGCTAAAACACGTGTGTTTGTCAATCCTCAAGCTTCCTTTGACCTTCCAGCAACGAGTATATCGAGAGCCTGACGCTGCAGGACCACAAAAACTTCATATCCTACATATATTTCCATACCGCCGAGCAGTGGATTTGCACGGCCAGCAATGACGCGACAATTTGCATCTATAAGCAAGACGGCTTTCTGCCGCTGCTTACGCTTAAAGGTCACGAGTCGACCGTTTGTGCATTGTCGGAGGGCCTGAAGCCGCGCAGCCTCATCAGCGGCAGTTGGGACAAAACCGCCTGTGTGTGGACCATTGGAGAAACGGGCGAAGTTACGACCGTATCGCTCAAAGGACACGAAGCAGCCGTCTGGGCTGTGGCGACGCTGAAAACGGAACAAAAGTACGTGACCGGAGGGGCCGACAAGTGCATCTACTACTGGAACGAGAAGGGCGACAAGCTGCGCCTGCTCAAGGGTCACACCGACTGCGTCCGTGGTCTGATTGGCCTGGAGGCCAACACGCTGCTCTCGTGCGGCAACGATGCCGTTCTGAACTTCTGGAACGAGGAGGGCGAGTGTGTGCGAAAGCTGGCCGGGCATACCAACTACATCTATGCCATGGCCCGGAACCAGGCCTTGGGCGATCAGGTTGTCGTCTCTTGTGGCGAGGACAGCACGCTGCGCATGTGGAATGTAATAACCGGTGATCAGCTTGGCGAGCCCATTCTGCATCCGGGCATATCGGTGTGGTCAGTGGCGTGTCTGCAAAACGGAGACATTGTCACGGGCTGCAGCGATGGCGTCGTCCGGGTGTTTAGCAAAGAACCAGCGCGTCAAGCAAGCGAGGCCGTCCGGCTAGCATTCGACCAGGCGGTCGCCACACGCAAATCGCAGATAAACGAGGAGATTGGCGGCGTTAAAAAGACAGAGTGAGCCTGGCCCTCCCGCTTTTCTTTCATCTCGGAGTACGAGTACTTATGTGCCATAAATCCCTTTTTTAGTCTTCCAGGTCCTGAAGCCCTGCTATCGAATGGAACCCGCGAGGGGCAAACGAAAATGGTGCGTCATCTGGATGGATCCGTCAAGTGTTATAGCTGGGAGCTCGGCAAGTGGAATTTGGTTGGTGATGTCACGGGCGCCTCGGGCGGCACTCAGGCCAGCTCGGGCAAGAACCTGTACGAGGGCAAGGAGTATGACTTTGTGTTCAATGTCGACATCTCGGACACAGCGCCGCCGATAAAGCTGCCCTACAACCGTGGCGAAGATCCCTGGCTGGCTGCCCAGGCCTTCATTCACAAGAATGACCTGCCACAGGCATATCTCGAGCAGGTGGCCAACTTCATTGTAAAGAACTCGGAGGGTGGGCCTGTGGAGGTGAGTCAGGCACCCACCGGTTATCAGGATCCCTTTACTGGCGGCTCCCGCTATGTGCCCGGCTCTAGCAACACGAATGTCCGAACTACGGGTAATGCGGATCCCTTCACTGGATCCTCCAGCTATTCCACTAGCACAAGTCATGCTCCATCCAGTGTGGATGTGAACTTTGTGCGTGCGGGTGACAAACACTTTCCCGTCAGCAGCTATCGCACATTTGATACCTGCGATGCCGCCAAAGTGCTGGAGAAAATGAAGTGAGTAGAGAGTAGAGCCTTCAAGGATTACCAATGGAATTGAATTTCCTTTTTTTTTTTTTTTGCAGAGAGTTCAACAATAAACTTACGCCCAGCGATGGAAAAGTTGGCGATGAACTGCTGCTGGCTGTCATTAAGCTAACCGAGCAGGCTCCCGTGCTGGAACTGACTGCTCTGGAGGCGCTTATTATTCTACTGAAATGGCCAGTCGGTCAGCTCTTTCCGGTCATCGACATACTGCGCCTGGCCGTGCGCAACGAGGCCATTTTCAGTGTGCTCAGCAATAGCCATGACTTCCTTAGCATCGTGTTGCCACAACTCGGTGGGGCTGCGGCCAATCAATTGATGGTGATACGCTGCCTGGCGAACAGCCTCACCCACCACACTGGACGGCAGCAGGTGGAATCGCAGTTGCCCAAGATCATTGAGTTGATTAGTGGCATCCGAGCGGGCAGCGCCAATCTACAGATTGCGATGGCCACCTTCTATCTGAACCTGACCATTTCGCAGACCCAGGGTGTGGCAAAGTCCGATATTTGCTATATGGTCACGACGGGCGTTGTGGAGCTGCTCAAGTGGGCCAAGGATCTGGAGGCATGTTACCGCTCCATGCAAGCCATCGGCAACTTGACCACAACCCCATGTGGCCAGGAGACCATCGCCCAGGTTATCTCCGTTGACTATGTGATGGACAAGCTGCGTGAGCTGACCAACACGCCTCAGGGCGAGAACTTCAGCAAGGTGAACTCGGTGGGACAGGCACTTCTGGCCGCATTCTAAAACTACTTCCTGCATAAGTCTAAATTATATATTGGAGAACGATTTTTCTAAATAAATATTATACACTTTAGTCGGCTGCCGTTTTGGAATGCTGTGGCGCCTCTTCTGTTGCCGCTGGCTTCGGCTGCTGGCGGCTGTTTATGCGCTCCAGCAGATCCAGTTTCCATCGCTCCTCCGGCACACCCTTCGCCCAGTCGGGCACCGTTATGTTTGGCAGCGTAATCGTTGACATGGCTTTCAGTATCTAAGAATATCAAAATTGTTATGAGACGTTTATCGATTGTAGCTTTTCATGGGGCAAACAACCTGTTCGGTTCGCGTCTTATCCAGCTCCATTTGCAGCTCTTGGGGTCGAGGCTCATTCCACACTTGTCGTTCGATTTCAATGTCGGCACACTCAATGGGCGGCATATTGGGATCGCCATGGGTAACTGGTGCTGTTGTCAAATCGATGTCTTCGTCATCTTCGGGCAGTGTGTTAGCCTCCACCTCCACTTGTGGTGGCTGTGGCTCTGTTCTCGGTTCACTGTCGTTGAAATCATCCATGGCAAGCCTCTGGTATCCATCGTAGGCATCTGAGTCATCGCTATCCTCGCTCTCGATACCAACACGCGGATGGTCCACTGCTGGCGTTGGAAATATCTCATGACCAGGATCAGAAGGTAGTTCTGGGCCCATTTTCTTATTTATTTTAATTTTTTTTCCGTAGTTCGATAACTAAATTTCGATAGCCTGCAGCAGTGTTGTAAAAGTGCAGCCGATACAGTGCCGTTACTTTTGCTGGTATTTTACAAATTAAAATAAATCCAACCAAAAAAAGAGTAAAAACACCGTTTAGCAATGACAATTTAATACATATAGCCCGCTGTGGACGCAGCGGCAGCAGAGCTGCTGGCATCGGGTACCCCGCCCCTTTGATGCGGCACAATTGTGGATTTGATGTCACGATTAGAGGTTTTCCGGAGCTCCGTCGCGGCATGCTGTAGCTGCACAGTGCACTCATTGCTGGCGCCATTCAAGCTGAGATGTGCGCACTCCTTTTCGAGGAGCATGGCCAGAGCCTCGAGCAGCTCGACGAAACCGAGCGCCAGCGCGGCGCGACGAATGCGATTGAGTTCCTTGTAAAAGTGCTGGGTCTTGTCCGGCATCTTCTTGGCATGGCGCAGCACCTTCTGAACGTCGGACTGTAGACTCGCCTGTCGTATCCACACAACGCTGCTCTGCGAATAGGAACGACGATCGGCACGAACTGGGAAGCTGGCCGTTTCGCCGGGGGCCAGATCCTCGGCAAAGCCGAGTAACTCCAGATCACCCAGCCAGGGTATAACATTCGATCCTGGCGGCAAAATGTTCAGCATCAGATTCGACTTCTTTTTGCCATCGGTGAAGGCATAGATGAAGCCGTACCACTTCTCGCCCACCCGCACCAAGGCGGCCATATTCTCCATTTTCAGGGCGCCGTGCAGCAGGACACAGAGGCACTCCTTCTGCTGCTCCGTTTGCGGGCCAGTGCTGTGCTTGAGCACGATCGTAACATCCGCATCGTCGCCGCTCTCTTCGGTGTCCTTGGGATCCTTGGCGTAAAACTCACGAATATCCTGCTCAAGACTCTCCAGCACATAGTTCGGATTGCTAGTGTCCAGTATGAGTTTGGCTGGCTTCGCCACGGCCGCCATGCCCGCCGAGCGACGACTGGCAGTACTCTTCTCACGCTCGACCTTCGGCAGTACCCAATGCCGGCTGAGAGTCGCCGGCGAGCCAATGTCGGACAGAGCGAGGAAGCCACACACCTCGATACGCTGATCAATTTGGCGCACCTGCGCCACATCCACGCCAAGCACAGCCGGCTGCTCATACGGTATTGTGGGTGGCCAGAGCAGGACGGGTGCCTCCATGCGGAAATAGCTTCCGCACTTCAACGTGACCTCGGTGGACTTGTAGCTCGTCTCGCACAGACGCTCGATCAGCTCAAAAACGGCAGTGCGTCCCAGCTCACTTTTGTGACTCGGCGTAGTGGAGGTGCCATTCTCATTTGTTTCTGGGTTCTTGACAGGCGTCATAAATAGCTGACCTGGAGATGGAGAGGTAATTGTTTAGGGGGGCAAACTCTCGAGTTGGTTTATTCCTTTAGCTACCCTTCAGTGCGGCAGCATCTAGCAGCTGCTGATACACGACCAGAGCTCGTGTAAAAAAGAGATCACTGTGCAGTCCCAGACAAATGAAGTTCAGATTGTAGTTGGCCACAGTCCTGAGCCACGCGTATTCTGGATCGGCTTCCTTGCCTGCATAAGTCTCCAGAAACCCGCTAATCGAAGTGCTGCAAAAGCCCAGACCGCAGTCGGTGAACACAACCAGCTGCAGGACGTTCTGTGCGCCCCAGGTGGACATTATGCTGACGCATGTCTTGAGCATGGTCAACAGACACGACTTGTCCACCGTCTCGATCTTCTTTACCGCCTGTCGTATCTGATCGTAGTCCCGCGTGAAGTCCACCTTCAGCTCCGCGGTCATTGTGTACGACATCAGAGCAAGGTGCTCCAGTTTGCCGGCTGCCGTGAAATTGTCCAGTAGATGTTGGATGCCCTTCGTGGCCAGCGATAGATACGTGTGCTCATTCCGGCCAGGCACCTGGCGCAGCATCGAAATTGATGCATCGACGGCTATGATTGTCGGCATTTCCAAAGTTTTAATATAAAACCATCAAAATTTCAGCGTCGTTTGTTTACGTATCTTCTTCTTGTACTCCAGCTGCAATAGACCTGGAGAAACATCGATGTTAACATCGATATCATCGATGTTTGAGTGCAGACATCGATGTTTTTATAATTACAGAGATTAAATGGATGATTTTTAGTTTTTACCTCCACGAATACCTAAGAATAGATGAGTTAGTAAGTTTCTTAAAAGCAAATTACTATCTTTTTGACAAAATTTTGATATTACATTCGCATAAAAGTTATTTGAAAATCCTTCGGGACCTAATGGGTTAAGCTAAGACAACCATTTTAAAAATATCGATGTTTCATCGATGTTTTGCTCCACCTGAAACGTCTACAGGAGAATGGCTAAACATTTTTCATTTGGCGCCAAGCTAAGAATTCAATTAAAACAGACCGGACCGCACCGCCTGTTAAATACGAATTTGAGCATCTCTCAATCAATCGTTTGAGGGGTGCATATTAGATTTTAATTGCCTTGATTTCGCCGCAAAATCATCCAGCGCTGGAGACCCTTATCATTTGTTTGCATTGCACCACTCAATAGTTTTGTATTAATATTAATTGAATTTTGATTCGCTGCCGCCCGTCGTCTCTCATCGCACCAGTATGCGGGGACGGGTGGGTCTTTTCTTGCTCTTTTAATTACATTTTATTAAAAACATATGAGCGCCGCCGGCGTTGCTCTCTCCAGCCGCACAGCATCCGCAATCGTCGCCGTCAGGGGAGAATACAAATCCACTCGCGGACCAGGCGCCAGCATTCATTCAGTTTGCTCTGCTTGAGCAGTGAGGTCCGCGTCGTCTCCCAAGTAAAGAACTTCCATAGTGTAACATACAAAATATATATTTTGTTCTAAGACTTCTTGGAGTTGGGAGTGTGTAAATCATTTCCTAAGAAAGTGAGTAATGTAATAATGTAATTGGATTAAGCACTCAGCACTCATCAATACTAAAAATTGAGGGGAGGCTTTATATGTACAACACATAAAGCACCAACAATTTATCAACCTTTTAACCCAAGCCATTCTTATCAATAAATTAATTCCCTCATCAGCCTCGATGTTTTTTAAATTTTATACTCATTAGCGGTGTATTTTTGTGTTGTGTTGTTGTGTGATCGTTAATAATTTCACTCGCCTCGCATATTTCTGACCCAATTTCACGAATGCAACATTTCCTCTCCATACTCGCATTGTGGAAATCTGGCACGAGGGTTGGTATATTTTTGCGTCATGTCATTCTGTTTATCGTTGCAAGAACAATATAGCATAGCCGATTATATGGCGCTCCATATATATGAGCATATGCGTATGCATATAGTACAGAAACATCAACGAGACGAGGTCTCTAACCAACCACACAATGCATCCCATCCGACAAGGAACCCATTTGGAACGCTTTGTTTGCAAATCTCTTTTGGAATGATTTTATTTGTTTGGTTTGTTCCCGTTCCCATGCCATAATAAATCCCCGCTAAATATTGCATTTTCTGGCTTGCATTGGCCATAAATTTGTTCGCATTTTGTTTGTTTATACGAAGCGGTATTTGTTATAAACAAATTTTAGATATAATTAAGGAAGGAATTATTTGGCTAACACCCGGACCCGGATACACAAAGCCGAACGGCATGCGGCGCCATTGCAATTTATTTTCCAATTTTCCCATTGATTCAGTTTCCTCTTGACTCTGCACAGAATACGTTGCGGATTTGCATAGCTGCATCCTAATTAAAGAACATATCGGAGATCATTTGAGAGTCGAGTCCATCGAACGCCACTACGCACTGCTGCATCATGGCCAGGGGAAGTCGAACACTCCAATTAGTATGCCTAGCTTTAATTGCTCTATCGCAATGGCACACACTGGCCACTGCAATGCCCGTCACGTAAGTAATTACATATGTACATATATATATATATATATATCGGAAAATGGTAGCTGCTAAAATATCTTGGCTGATATTTGCTATATAAGAAATTTAGCCTCTAAATTAATGGAAAATTTCAGAAAGAGAAATATTTACGTGGGTTGCATAGGAAGCTAAAATCCGTAGATATTTTAAAGTAAATTATATGATAGTTCTCTTCTGGTTCTTTAAAAATGCTTGGCTTTAAATTTTTAAAATTGTGCACAAACTTTCAATTAAATTGATCAACTTCTTCGTCGTAAAATTTCTATTAAATGGGGATTCCTCCTCTGAGTTATTTTAAATTATTTTAAAAATGTTCCTGCATAGAAAATTAAAAAAAAAAAAATTAGAAAGGGGAATAGCATAAAATCTCAGATCGTAAATCTCAGATCATAAAATAGCTGTAATTGGATGCTTAATTTTGTACAATTCCCATTGCCTATGTCGGATTGAAAAGAGCACTAAAAATATTCCGGTTCCTCCAGCTCAGCCGCTTTGACACATGTCACACACATTCGTTCGCACTTCATTTTGGGATTTTGGGCTCTCTTATCCATGGGGAATTTTTTTTTAGCGAAATATGCAAGACATCAACTCCATGTCGTCGGCTGCCCATTCCCATTCCCAGTCCCAGTCCCAGTCCCAGCCAAGTCCCCTGCATTCATTCACAGTCCCAGGCCAGGCGCTGGCCTCCCTTCAAACGAAAAACGAAGATGTTCAGTCTATCCGCCCGTCCGTCAAGCATACGTACGTACGTACGTCCGTCTGTTGCTGTTCCGCTTATTTGTTTGTTTATTTTCGGACCCGGGGCCGGGGCATATTCTTGCTGCATCTCTCTAACTGCCAGACACTTCATGCAAATGGGCAACGGGGAGTGGAGTGGGGATAGAGCGCGGCATGTGCAGCCCGGCACTTAGGCAGTTGCATCGCCCCCTTCCACGCCCATCTATGCTCTCTACGCCATGGCATATCCATCAGCATCAATGCATTTCACACAAACAGAAACTAAACAGGGTTCCTGACCCTGAGCCGGGAGAGCCAACCATTAACGATCGCAATCGAAATGGGAAATTGGAATAGGGGGTATGGGTATGGGTATGGGTATGGGGGAATGCGGCCCTTCAATATTTATAGATGCAATGGTGGTGGCGGCAGAGGCAGCGGCAGCGACAGCGGCCTCCCACTCAGATGATTAATGAGCTATGAGAGCGAGGCTAATTTTAAGCAAAACTCCGTTCCAGCAATGAGGAGCTGCGCGGCACCATACAGTCGCTGATCTATTCGTACAATCAGCTCGACAATAAGCTGGAACGGCACGAGCATCGAGAGCGTGCCCTGGGGGAGCTGCTGAAGAAGGCGCTGCAGTCGCTGCAAAAGGGTCAAAAGAGTCTGGAGCCCATCAATGGGATATTCGGAAGGTTGGACGAGCGGGTTAGCCAGATCGAGACAATGCTCATCACGGTAAGTCGGCAGACATTAGCCACTTCGGGCCACCTCTAGCTAATGCCATACTTCATGCAGCAAGAGGAGAAGTACAATTCGCAGTCGGATCGCTTCAATCAGGCCACCGAGCACATGTTCAAATGGATGCGGGAGAATGATGAGTGCTTCAAGCGCCCACCGGCTACTGCCAATCTGATTGCGGCTGCCCCAGCACCAGCGGCCATTCCCAACGAGTTTATCCAGGAGCAGCAGCGTCTCAACAAGCGGCTGCTGGAGGAGATCCAAAAACTCTCCTCGAGTGTGACCGCGCTGCTGGACAGCAGCAAACAGACAGCCGCCCAGACCCAAAAGAACTTTGACAGCATGCCCAAGGCCAACGAACTGCTCACCCAGATCGAGGCGAAGCTGCAGCAGCACTCGACCAGCGTCACGACCGCCGCACCGCCAAAGAACGATGAGTTTGAGCTGCAGCTGCTGGAGCGTCTGAATGCTTTGGGCGGTCAGGTGGCCAAACTGAGCGATGCGCCGCCTCCCGCTGCTCCTGTTGGACTCAATGACAAGGACAGAGCGTACATCCAAGAGTTGAATAACGACACACTGAATGCCCTGGCCAAGCTGAAGAGTGAGACTGTCTCGGGACAGCAAACAGGTTGGTATTCCACCCAACTAAAAGTAGATAGAAAACAGCCCCCAAGACATACGTTTTTGGGCTCTTCTGCTGACCCTTCTGAGGCCTGATTCAACTTCCTTAATCTCTCCCTTCATTACACACAGCTTTGACCCAAACGACGGAGCGTTTGCAGCAGACAGAGGCCAACATTCAGGCGGACGTTAAGCAGCTCTCCAGCGATGTGAGTGGGCTGAGCACATTATTTGCCTCCGTCAACGAGAGCAACAGCAAGCTGAACGATGGCTTCGAGGCGTTGGGCAAGTTCAACAACATCATGATGACCAATTCGGAAGTGGTGCTGGACACGCAGCGCAAGGTGGAGTTCGGCACACTGCAGATTGTGCAGCGTGTGAGCAAGCTGCTGGAGGAGCAGGTGACCGACTTGAAGGGTGTGCTCAAGACACGCTTCACCGCGCTGGATGGGGCTGTGGTCAGTGGTCAGCAGGAGACGAGTCGCAATATTAGCGGACTGCTCGATACGGAGCTCACACAGGTGTGGCATCGCATTGAGATCATGTCCAGCGAAATTAGCCAGAGCAGGGAAATGCTGAGTGTCATTCAGGCCGCTTCCGATGGGTACATCAACATCACCTTGGCCACCATGATGGGCCTGGGCGGCAAGGTGGAGGAGACAAAGAAGCACATGATCGATATGGATGAGAATCTGAACTTCCTGCTGGGCAAATTGTCGCTTATGTCCAGCGAGTTTGCCAACATCAAGAAGGGCCTTGCCGACTCGCTGGAGGATCTGCGCAACTCCTTCCATATGCTGCATGAGCGCATGCCAACGGGTCCGGGGCCGCATAACATCGAAAAGAATCAGTATCTGACCGATGTGAATCTGCTGTCCAAGCGCCATGCTCAGGAGGAGTAGTAGAAGGCAGAGAGCCACAGCCACTGCAATTACAATTACAATTAATATACAAATACAATAACCCTAACCGTAGCGCTTAAGGACGCCCACTTACATATACACACATCCCCACACACACACACACACACACACACACATACATACATACAACATATTTATGCAATTGCGATCTTAAAAACAAATCTCTCTTAAATACATTTCGTTTATGAACAAAATTACTCCATCGCACTTTATGCTTACGTTCTAAAAGGAATGGTTTGCCCAAGCAAATTTTTGGGGCATTCCTCGGGCTATAATTTACATACGGAATAGGTTAACTACTTAAACATAAACTGAGTCAATTCAATATTCGGCTTGACCTTAAGCACCTACGTGCCCCACCTCTGCTCGCAGCGTGAGTATCGATAGAGCACCTTGGTGAAGGATTCCACGTTGAAGTACCGATCGCTGGGATGCGTGTGGAATTCGGTGAAGCGCACATGCCACGGCATCAAGCCATAGGTGCACGTCTGATGTGCAAAAATTATGCCCAGGTCCGGATCCGGTGCCTCATAGTCCAGCCGCTGGGCCAACCTTAAGGTTATCTCCTCGGTGAGGGACTCCCGCTTCTGCAGCAGACCCTGTACCAGAGGCGTCTCTCTAATTGCGTACAGATCGCGGCAGACATCCGCTATAAGGGCATGGCAATCCGCGGGCCTGATTCGGTAGACCTGCAGCAACCCAAAGACAACGAAATCAATTAGCGTTTTGTACCGAGCACAGATAAGGCGGTGATTATTTCTGGGAATCGACTGGGAGGGTGGGGTATAGTCTTATCAGCCAGTCTTACCTGCAGCTGGGGTAAATGCGTGCCGTTTACACCGTTCGCATACCCATTCTTCTTGTGTCCATTGGTATGCCCATTGGTTTTGTGATGCACCGGTCCCGCTAGCCAACTGTAGCACCTGCCGTTGCTGTCCTCCCGTGGCTGGCAGAGGGCGTCCAATTCCACATAGCCGTGTTTTTTCTCACGCCTATCGTACACACTGACGTGCTTGATGCCAATGGCGAGAGCATAGCCGAAAATTGAATTTAGTCGTCCCGCATCCACATAGTAGTCATCCGGAGCTATGATTAGCACTAGGTGCTGCGGCACTTTGGTCAGGCTTGCCTTGCAGTCGGCCAGTAGGCGGCGCTCGTGCCGCTCACGCGCATCTTTTCCGCGACAAAAGTCATATGACCCGCGTACAAGGGCATGAAATTGCTGGTGCAGTCGACGCACTAGTTCGTACGCTCCGACCAGAAGTAGCAGCAGTTTGCCAAGCAGGATGCAGATCACTTCAATCATGGTGGGATCGGCCGGCGGAATGTGTGGGATCGGTGGCGATGGCTGCTGGCCTCCTGTTGCTTCTTGAGGTCCGGTCCCGCATACAAGCAAACATAACCTGAAAACAGAGGGCGGAACATTAGCTTAACACTTTTGCTGAAGCCGAGGACTCACCCACGCTAATCAGGGCCTATATGGCGTAATGCCGCAATCACTTTGTCGGGGTCATTGTGTTATGTAGCCGCTTTGTGTTAATACGATACGTGTTCTTAATTTTTTGTCAATTTTGTATTTTGTAATCAGCTGTTTTGATTGCTTGGATTTATCGATTTATTATCAAAGTATACCTATACTGCCTTGCGCGACAAGATATTCCTCAATTTTTATATTCTGTTTAATATTACTAGCTAGTTGGCCTTTTCAGCCCTAAACAAATAATTTTATCAGATAGATACATAAATTTTCTACAAGATTGGCTAGTTTTAGGAAGTCCTTTTTATTGCATTATTTACATAGAAAGGTTCAAACAAAAACGGCCAAAGCATAAAACGTAAATGTTGACCTAACTGTGACGTCAATGTTGCTGATCAACCGTGTTTCTTATATGCGTATGGACTTTTTTATACCTTTTTCTTTTAATTAATGATACATTTTTTGTTCCAAGCAGCTATGAAACATTAATAATGAATTTGTCTTAGAATTTCATGTTTTATACCTATTTATGCATTTGATTTGTTATTTGTAAATAAATTTATCCCGGTTCTGATACCTGTTATTGTTATTTTATATCTTTAAAACAGAGACTGAGTAGTTTCTGCATTAATTGGTGCCTGAAATTACAAACAATATCTCAAGTCCATAAAATCCATTTTCCCAAGGTATTCAGATTTTGTGCCAAAGTTGCACAACAATGCTGATAATTTATTTCCCCATGTTGCTGAAATTTTTCCCATACAAATCAAAGATCAAAGTATCTTACGGGAACCGTATTGAACGTCGCAACAATGAATCTTCACATACGTTAAGAACATGCGGCTCACACCACGAAAAGGAGGGGAAAGTCACCACGAAAGCGCTCTCTTCACCTCGGAAAACAGAGAAAATTTTGAAAAACCACCAAGATTTGAGAGCGATAAAAGTCGGTATTTTCTGTGCGGATGGGTGGGCATCGTTGATTGTATTTTTTCGATGTTTTCAAATTGACGATCGATGAAACATCAATGTTTTTAAAAATAGAAACAAATTTTTTTTTCTGTAAATTAAATTAATTTAATTGAAAAGATTTGGTTAATTTTATAACAAAATAAAAAGCTTTATTCGTAAAAGCAAGAAAACAAAAACAAATTTAATGAGATCAAAATACAAATCTTATTCTAAAAGTTTAACAGAACATGGTTTGGTTCTTATTGATACATGAGTTTAGCTACGACATCAACTTTAAGTCTGGTGCGACGTCCGATATGATCTTGTTGAAAGACCTTTCGGACTCGCATGATGTTGCCACACATCCACCGACGTTGCCTACACCACAAGTTAAATACCTGAAAACATCTATATACAGTTAATAATACAATTTATAAATATATTTTTGCACATACCTTCTGCGCTTCCCTTACTTTACTTACCTTGCAAAAACATCGATAGTCGCCATAAAACATCGATGTTTCCAAAAATTTTAAAACATCGATGCATCGATGTTCTCATCGATGTTTCTCCACCTCTACTTCAAGTAGTATATTTTGTCGATAAATCCGATCTGTTTGCCGGTTCTGCTGAAAATTCTGTGAAAATATAATTAATTGTCTGCCAAGTCTTCAAAGATAATCAAGGTGAGCAATCCTTCCGAATACCCATTACCCGCACAGCCTTACTGTGATTATTTGGATTTAAGTCGGTGTCCAGGCGGCTGTCTGGAAATAGCGAGTGGGTGGGTGTGTGCAGTGTATCCTAAATATATGTATATTTATATCTAAATATATATGTGCATGGTGTGAATGTACAAGAGACAGCTGTGCCGCTATGGACGATTTAGATGTGATGGCTATTTTTGTGTGATTCATTTTGTTTGTAAAATTAAATTCACACGACACGTACATATATATGGATATGTATGTATGTGCATATATCGTGTGAGGGTGTGTAGATATGCTTTTCTGTGTTTTGTTCGGTGTATTTTTAATGATGATTTCATATCCAATTCCATTTTACTTAACTACAATTGCGCAGATACAAATGTATGTAAATTAATTGATTCGTGGATGGATGCTTCTGGTGCATTTTAACAGCCCGATACAATAACTACTCAGCTGTTCTGTGACTCACGCACACACAGAGCCATTTCCCCAATTCGCAAGACCGACCCAACCCAACCCTCGGCTGGACGATGACTCAAAAGATGGCCGAATGTGTGCTATCAGTAAAGTTCGAAACTAAAAAGCAGGTGCCAGGGTAATAGTACATATACTATCTCCTACTGTTGCCATATAAGGCGGTAGATTTTAATTTCCAATTAGCAGTAATTTGAGATAGTACTTCCAACACATACACACACGCACAGACTTGTATGCACGCATACGTGGGATAACGGTGCATCTGCTGCAGACATTTAATCTGCTTGAGATTCTAGTTTATAAACGCATCTGCCCCGCCAGCAACGCAACGCAACATCAGAAGCAACAAGAACTAGTATAGTTGGGGCGAAAGTTGCCCCGCTCTCGGAAACGGATTCGGATTCCCCACTCTAATTGCCAGCCATTTGTTTTAGCCAGTTAAGATGTTAGCAAAAAAACCACTTTGCCGGTGCAATAAACTCACTGCGCAGCTGTCGAGGCAGGCTCTCTCTCGCTGTCCCGCTCTTTTTGTCTCTGTCTCTCTTGATTGAACGCTGAGGGGGAGCGGAGCCTTAATGTAAGCTTTCTCTGCTGGTAAAGTGCATCTTTTTCGCGTTAGGCGAAATTATCTATGCCGAAAGTGAATATTAAAGCAGCAGTTTCATTGCCATTCAGATTCAGTTGCTTGCCCGAATTGGTCAAGCCGCCAGTGCCAGGCCAAAATAGGAGAAAATGCACAAAACAGCTGAAGCTTGAACTAAAACTGCTTGAACTGCTTATATGCGCTTAACATTAATGTGGTTAACAGCAAGAGGCTGTGGCTCGTCCTGTGCAGAGTGTATTAAGAAGGGGGTGAGGCATGTTTGCCGCACTCTCTCCCGCTTTGTGTGTGCTCTAACCACTGAAAGATAATATGCAACCATCGCAAGAGTGCTCTCTGGCCGTGCCTCACCTTGCCTATATGTCCACCTTGGTCCTGTGCGTGCGCGTGTGCTCCTTTTAGGGTGTGTTCCGCCGTATGGGTGTGGTGTGCCGCGACTGTGTGTGTGTGTGTGTGTATTTGTGTGTCATTTAGCCCCCGCAGTCGTCACTTGACCCAGTTGGAGCCCGGAACAGGAACCAGGACAATTTTTTTATTGGACAAAACTGTGAATTGTGTGTGTTGAATCTGTTAATCTCTTTTACCTGGAGGAAGTGTCGGGTGGAGTCAAACAGACTAGCGGAGTTGCTGGGTGGCTGGCTTTTGGTTTCCATTTCTGTGTTCTTTCCTTTGCGGCTTTTGTCTTTTGCCTGTTCTAACCATTTGTATGGCTGCTGCCACCGCCACCGTCACCGCCAATGCTCATGCTGATGCTAACGACACCGAATGCCGCCAATGTTGTGTGACCGCTGTGCCGTGTCCGTGTGTCTGAGCATGAGAGATAAAAAGTAAAACGGAAATTACATAATGTGCATCAACGTTCGTTTTTAAAGTGAAGACCACCCAACGAACCAACCAACGGCCGCAAAATGTTCTCATGCTGTCGGGCCAATACCAAAGTAAGCAAAAAGGACAAGGGCAGCAAGGCCGAAGAAGAGAATGAGGAGGTGGTGGATGGGGCAGTGTCAGTGCCAGTGCCAGTGTCATCCAACCCAAGGAACGAAAAGGAGGAGCCACCCCAGCTGAATGGCACTGCAGCCAAGCTTGAAAGTGAACCCGAGCCGGAGCTAAAGCTAGTGCCAGTGCCAGAGCCAGAGCCAGTCTCTGAGTTGGCCAAGGAAGCGGACGACAATGTCACCCATCAAACAGACCCTCTGCCGAACGATGAAGTTGCCAAATCCGATACTGGTATTAACTTATTCCCTAAGTATACACAACTCTATCTACTCTACCTCTCTCTCTCTCTGCCTCTCGAGACAAAAAAAAAATAAAAACCGCTGCTCTGTGTGCTCTTTGAAGCACTGCAAAGCAATCTGCACGCTCGGCTTTTGTGTACTGCACAGGGTTCAGAGACCTCCGCGGCCTGGACCTGGGCTCTCAAATCACTGCGGCTGACCAGCCCAGCCACAAACCCAGTCCAGTGCTTCGTTATCCTTCTCCTTCTTCTTTTCTCTTCCTTTCTTTTTGATTTTGAACCATTTTTGATGCTGTTTTTAGTTGTACTTTCTCTTGTTTCCATGTGCATGTAGAGAATATCAAGGCATGGTGACGATTCATTAGCTCACAATGAACATCAATCAAAGTGTCATCAGACATGAGATAAACTATAAAAATAAATTAAAAAAGACGATAATTATTTGCAGTTATCGAAGCGCAGGAAATAATCATTTATGAATTGATGTAATCGATTTATACATCGGCTCAATGCCTTGATATTCTCTTGCACAACTTAATCTTCTTATAGAGTAATCCTAAGCAACGTTTTCACAGTCATTGTAGACGTTATAGCTGCACCCGCATCCACAGAAACCGAAGCAGCTAGTCCACCATCACCCGTGCTGCAATCTTCGGTCCGTTCAACACATTCGTCGACCTCTACGGCCCCACCCGCATCGATGACCAGCGCTGGGGCGGAGGATGAGGATGATGTGGCTGTTGCGACGGTTACACCGACAACGCCGCCACCACAGCCACCGCCCACAAAGAGCTGCCTGTCGCGCCACAATTCCACACACCAATCCATCAAAAAGAAGGTGAACATAAGCAACCGGGCGGAGATAATTGAGCCGGAACCGCTGCCACCGCTCCAGTTGGCCAATCACAATAACAACGGCTCGCTGGCCGACGACGATGAGGTGTTCTCCGACTCGTTGCCACCGCCCAAGCGCGAGAGCATGTGTGCGCCGTATATAGAGGGGGATCTGGTGTCGGAAACGAGACCTCTGGCCTTTGCCCACGGCCTGCCCGTCTGGTTCGAAGATGAGCGGCTAAATGAGATGTATGCTTGCCGTTTAATCCTTGTTTAGTTTTGCCCATACGCGTTCTCTGCGTTCCCCATTCCCGACTGTTTCACTATACACTCTCCCGTTGTACTCTGCTCTCCTCCTTACATGTCCAGGGGCTGCATCGAGCCACCGGTGACTCCAGTGGGACGCGATGAGCTGGAGCTGAAGCGCCAACGCCTGTACACGGAGCTACTGCGAGCCGCCCACGCGGCCGTCGAGCACAGCGTGGCCGTGCGGGGTATGGATGATAGCTTCGTTCTGTTCTTTGGCTCAGTTGTAACCGAAATTGCTTGAGTCGTTTGGTTTAATTTATGGAATATATGGATTACAAGCGATTTCTGTTGATAAATCGCTTATATCCGCAGCATATATCTTAGAATTAAACTTAAATCGCGATCAAGTAACTTTGCACATCGGATTTATAACTCTCCATTGTGCTCTCCACTTGTTCTTTCGTTCTGTTTTGTCTGTTTTTGCTGTTTTCCTAGTGTTTTGCATGTGGCATTGTCGAATCTTTGATTTTCTATACCCTTGCAGAGGATTTGATATAACGCCGAAAAGAAATCCAATCATTTCAGGTTCCATAATGTTTGTCTGTTTAGTAAGTTGTCTCCGACAAGATCGGATCATAAAATATAGCTGCCATAGCAAAGATAAAGAAGATAATCATTATCTAAGTATAAGCTTAAGCTCTCCCGCATCCGAACGAAATCAGAGTTCTTTTTGGATATTTAACGATCTGCAAGGGTATCGACAGCTTCGGTATACGAAGCTTTGGTCTTTTTCTCACTTTGGTCCTTTCGTTGGCCAACATCTTGATTTATTATATTTCTTAATTGATGTTTATTAAGTGCACAGCTCATGGACTTTTTCTGTTGTAGTCCTGCACCATCACCATCATCATCGTCATCATTCCAGCTCATTCCATCATGCTCATTCGCAGAGACGTTTTTCGATGACTTTTGATTTGTACCGTAATTTTTTTTCGATGGCGACATGTTGTGTGTTGTGTGCACGCTTTACTGGGCGGGGGGAAGGAACAGACTCCATCACGATTTTTTGTTTAGTTCTCTGTGTGATCATTATAGATTTTTCAATGTTCTTAAAGCACTACCTTCGATTAAAGAGAAACAAGTGGTATAATTTTGTTCAATACTTTCTCCAACCATTCAAACCATTCAGAAAACGAACCAGACGCCAAGCCAACGGCTGCTGTCGGACATTTGGAGAGCATTTGCGAACGCTTGGAGAGCCTAGTTGATCGCTTGGAGCGTACCTTGATCGCGCCACAGTCACAGCCCCAGACCCAGACCCAGCCGGAATCGATTGAATTGCCCCCGCCACCACCGCCACTACCAGAAGCTGAAGAAGCTGCTCCTCCAGAAGACGTTCTAGTCGAAGCACCACCACCGCCAAGCAGCAGCATGAGTGTCGCCGGATTCGAGGACATCGTTGCGGGTCCGCTGAGCAAATACCTGACTCTGTCCGCTAAAATTGGCGGCGATGTGGCCCAGCATGCCGATCTCGTGAGAAGCGCCTTTGGGTGAGTCAACCGAATGAGTCATCTTTGTTTATGATGCTCAATTCGTTTTATCTTTCTAACAGCCTTCAGCAGCAGTATGTGACGCTGGCCACGCAGATTGCCCAGCCGGCGCAGCCAAAGCAAGCGGAACTGCTGAAGCCAACGTCGACGCAGATCAGCGCCATTCAGGACTATCGCGAGAAGCATCGTACGTCCCCGTTCTTCAATCATCTGTCCGCCATTAGCGAGAGCATCCCCGCCCTCGGTTGGGTGTGCGTCGAGAAGACTCCCGGGCCGTATGTGAAGGAGATGAACGATGCCGGCCAGTTCTACACGAATCGTGTGCTGAAGGAGTGGAAGGAGAAGGACAGCACGCATGTGGAGTGGGCCCGCTCCTGGGTGCAGACCCTGACCGAACTGCAGGCCTACATTAAGCAGTATCACACCACGGGTCTGGTGTGGTCTGGCAAGGGAGCCGCCCCGTCCGGCGGAGCACCACCACCGCCACCACCCGGCGGTCTGCCACCACCACCACCTCCATTGGACTTGAGTGCTCTGAAGCTCGACAGCGGCGGCGATGAACGCAATGCACTGTTCGCCCAAATCAATCAGGGCGCTGACATCACCAAGAGTGAGTACGAGTACGAGTTGTTCACGTTTTGAGGATGGTTAATCAATCTTTGCTCTTTCGTTTCGTCTAAACAGACCTGAAGAAGGTCACGGGGGATATGCAGACCCACAAGAATCCCTCACTGCGCACTGGACCGGCACCATTCAAGACGCCAGCCCAGTCTGGCTCGTCTGGTGCTGGCCCCTCAGCATCCGCCGCCGCCAAGGAACCCGTCTTCACACGCGATGGCAAGAAGTGGCTGATCGAGTACCAGAAGAACAACACCGGCCTGCTGGTGGATAATGCCGAAATGAACAACGTGGTGTATGTGTTCCGCTGCGAGGGCTCCACGCTGACGGTCAAGGGCAAGGTGAACAACATTGTGCTGGACTCGTGCAAGAAGTGCTCGCTGCTGTTCGACTCGGTGGTGGCCTCCGTCGAGTTTGTCAACTGCCAGAGCGTCCAGATGCAGGTGCTCGGGTTTGTGCCAACGATTTCCATTGACAAGAGCGACGGCTGCCAAATGTATCTGTCCAAAGAATCGTTGGGCGTGGAGATTGTGAGCTCCAAGTCTTCCGAGATGAACATTCTCTTGCCCGATGCTAGCGGCGACTATGTAAGTCTAAGAGAGCATCCGCATCACTTGGAAATAAAACTAAATTATATTCTTTTATTTTGCAGACCGAATTGGCTGTACCGGAGCAGTATAAGACCACCATTGCTGGCAAGACCCTCAAGACTGTGTGCGTGGACAGCCTCGGCTAGTGTGAGAGTCCGTCAGGGATCCCCCATCCGGCCATCAGTTGCTTTTCCCAGCTATTATCAACAGCATTGGCCCAGACGGCACTCAATATGTGTATTTAATATTAAGCGCAAACGTTTTCGTAATTCAGAAATTTTAAGATCAAAAAACCTTTCGTACAGAGATTGTTGCCAAACATTGCTATCAAGAAAAAGTATTTATATATATATATGTTTATGTCGAATGTCAATGGAAAAGCGATGAAGAGCATCGATGGAACAGCACCGAACCCAATGTATTTATATCGAGATGAGTATGAGTATGTAACGAAACTGAGCACGAGAGATTCGAACCTTTTTAAGCAGACTCTTCATTTGATCGTCAGAAATAACTCTTTTTTATATTCTATTGAAATAAAATTCAAACATTTTTTATCAAATAAAAAAGGAGAAGATAAAGCGTTTTATTTCTACATTTACAATTACAATTCATGTATTAAAGCCTGAATCTGATCAAGATGTGGGTAGGGGATAGGAATGGCTGGTAATACTTGGAGCCTATATCTTCTTGTACTCGATTCGCTCCACTTTGACCTCATCGCCAATCAGCTGGTACACATAGGTCACCACCGTCGTGCTCTGGATGTCCATCAGCACAAATGAGGGCACCACATTCATGTCCAGCGGATTGAAGGCGCCCGTTGCCGAGCCCGGATTGATGTAGAACTTATTGCCGTGCTCGTACGCCTCGAACTTGTACGTGTGCCCCGTTATCAGTATGTCCACATCCAACTGACGTTGAATCAGCGCCAGGGCTTCAGGATCTCCGCGCGGCACCACCTGATGGCCATGGCACAGGCCGATGCGGAATTGACCCACCGTCACCACCTTTTGCTCCGGATAGCTGAGATTCTCGTCAAAGTCTCCGCGCACTATGTGCACATCGTTGGCCAGCGACTTTAGATAGTCGTAGGATTCTTTTGTGCAGATGTTGCCGGTGGCCAGTATGTGGTGTATCCGTCCCGGCACCAGCAGCTTCTTGAACTTGTACGGCAGGCTGCTGCAGCGATGCGGGATGTGCAGATCCCCGAGTACCAGAACGAGCATCGTATCCTTGGGGGGGTGCTATCCTGTTTTGTTTTTCCCTAAAATTGTGAAAACGCCCAGCGATTTAGCTGAAACCGCAGTGTGACCAGGTCGATAAAATACCAATACAGTGGGCCTAGGACCTCAGAAATTGTAAACTTTTATTTAGTGCAGAAATGTTTTTGTATTTAAATGATCTACACATTAGGCGAGTATGCGTCTATTTAATAATTAGTTAATAATTGGCGACAGGATCAGTGGAATATGATTTTCATCGGAATATTTCGAAAATGAGAAGCTATATTTCGGTATATTTAATGGATCCTCAGGCAGTATATTTTACTGACAAGTTCGCGGTCACACTGATCGACGCAAAACAAAATAAAATTGGAAAACCGCGCGGATTTTAATTGAAAATGTCGCGGGATTCGCTTGAGCTGCTGGTCCGAAAGTACGGCGAAAGGGGGCAGAGAGATGAACTGGAGTTGCTCATAAAAAATACTTCCGTAAAAAAGGTAAGCCTCACATTTTGTGTGCAACGCAATAACTTACCTGCATGCATATCAATCAATCATATCAATCATCAATTATGATTGTTTGAACAGCTAACAGACACTCTGAATGCCACAATATCCCGAAGTGAAGGTATCAATTTCTGGAATTACTTTCTGCTCGCTTGCGACCCTGAGAGCGAAGAGTCCAAGCAGAAACGTTTCGCGCTCGTCCGCTGTTTTATGGATGGACTGCGTAGTGTAGAACTGAACTACAAGCAATCCTTCGATTTGATCACACGATTGGCCCGGGAGCTGCCCACCTTCTCTGCTGATGAACTGGCCTGGATTATCGATCACTGTCTGGATGGCATGCGACAGGGAGACGCCAAGTGTGTTGGTTGGAAGGATTTGTTGCCAGAATCGCTTTCGCTGCTTTCGGCAACTCCACGTTTTATACTCAATGGGGTTGCCTCGGATGGCACCGAGTATAGAAATCGTACAGTGCAAAGTATATGTACCATGCCGTGGCCGTCTTCTATCCTGACCCCCATTGCTGACATGTTCAAGTATGTTGCGACCATAGAATGCTTAAAAATTTACAAAATTTCCGCTTTTTAGGGCCCTAGAGCTCAGCAGCGGGGAAGTCTTGACGGTGCTAAATAAATTCTCCGGGGCTCTGCAGGAGCTATCGCCAATGGAGCTACCAGCTCTGTGCTTCCAGCTCTTTTCCTTGTGCCAAAATGCCTCACAGCTGATTGTTCCGCTGCTGGCATTGGAGAAGTATTTCCATCGCAACTACTACAAGCGCTTGTTCTCAGACATGTGCAGCAATTCTACAGATTTTGACAGCATTGGTATGCCTAAGTGTATCAACTATTTACTATGTTTCGTTTTATACATTTCTATTTTAAATATCAGATCCTTTTTCGGACAAAGAGCTGCGGGAGGCAGAGGAGACCGTACTCCACCATTTGAATTACTGTACTATGTATAAGTTTACTGAGAAGCATCTGGCTGTAATGTTTAGGGTGAGCACTTTGGCTCTTCCAAATGGAATGACTTCTAATGTAATTTTCTATATGCAGAACTTCTCGCATTTGCCCGATGTCATTCTCACGCCATTCATGCTCAGCGCTATTATTTCGATGACAGCAATGAATCGTGATCCAGAAAATGCGCGCATCTCCCGATCCATTTTGCTACCGTTCTTGCGAAATGTCATTAAGAATAATGAGGAAGAGATGACGTTAGCAGACGATTCAGTATGGTATCGTGACTCGTTGCAGCGCAAACAAGTGGACTTGCAGCAGGTCTTAACGGTGCTCATAGATCAGAACAAAGCTGGAAAGGATGTAATAACACCAGGACTAATCCACCTAGTATTTTTTCTGCTTAAGTCGCAGTCGCCCAAAATGCATGCTCTTGCAATTACATTTTTAACGAAGTTCATTCGCAAACGTTTCATCTTTGGGCAAGGCATCATAAGACAACTTTCCGAGTGGATGGTTGTACATCAAGAACAAAACCAGTTTTCAGGTTGGTAATTCACTTACGTTCATAATTTTTTAATAATTTTTCTATTTTTTTTCTAGAATGTCTAACACTTTTAAGTGTAGCTGACACGTACACCGTCTCTGAGTGCACGAAAACCATCCAAACAGTTATGGAGCATATGCTATGGGTAGGTCATTTAAATGTATTTGTTTTTCTTCTTCTACTAGCAACTTATTCATTTTGTTAAAGCTGCCTGGAGAGCAAGCCATGCGCATGATGAACTTTCTTTTGCCCCTGCTGAAGATTTCCAATCGAGTACGCGATTCCCTGATTGATGTGCTGTGCAAAGCAATGAGTTCTAGGTGCGTCTCCTTTCAATGAAAAAATCGTTATATATCTTATAATATATAACCTAATTATATGCAGTGGCATTCAAAAACGTCGGATGGCAATTTACGGATTTTGCATGATCCTTAAGCAGCTTAACAACAGCAACGCACTGCGTCAGACCTCAAGTGCAACTAGCTTCTGCACGCAGCAGAGCATTTCCGGGTACTCAATGATGACACAAAATAGCCTAGGAAGCCGAAGCAATCCGCAACGCAATTTCGACATGCTCACTCTGGAAATAATAGGAATGTTGCGAAATTGTTTGCAGCAGCAGTTTGAAATACGATACACGCTCTATGAGAGTAAGTAACTTAAATGCCTAATGATTGCTGATTTGCTGGTGATTTATGAATTTACTTCTCGCAGATCTGCAGCGGGCCGTGGAGCTAAATGCAAAACTTGTGCCTCATGTCTTACAAGTGATTGATTGGCATTTTCGAAGCTTTTTTGACACTCCTTCGGCAGAAGAAGCTGGCGACAGCTTAGACACAGTATTTCGTATACGCTACGATCAGCTGGTTAGTGCCAGCGATCAGCTACATATGGAAATTCAGCTTAAAGATAACCTGGGGAGGTTGATCCAATTTGTCGCCAACTGCTTGGTAATCTTTGAGCGTGCTGCGTCCGGCTATGACACACGTGAGATAAATCGGCTCCTGGCCTTATGCGTGCAACGAATGGTGGAAAACAGATTGCCAACAGAAGACGTTGTAAGTTTAAGCCATGTCTTATAACCTCATTATCGAACAATACATACGACGTACATACGTTATATTTCCAGTCACCTCCAGCCACGCACCTAAATGCGCTCTAGCTCTGCAACAGCTCAATCTTATTGAAGGAATCGTTTCCCATTTATTGCTGAGTTCCAAAGCAGGCAACGATGCCATATGTCAAGTGCTGCCGCTTTTCAAGCAGCATTGCAAGTTGTCGGACGATCTTAAGACTTTGGCTGGCTCCTCCAAGAGGGTACAGAAACAATCAAAGAAAACAGCTGGTAATGATACCACAACATCCACTGTCAACCTCACTGTAAATGGCATCCCAATGAAGAGCATGTGTACACAACCTGAGAATATATGGAATTTACCTATATTGGATAAGCTGCTTCATCTACTCTTCGAGTGAGTGCCATTTCGACTGCTCCGATTCAAATGTATGAAATGTATGCTTTGAAAATTACTTTTCAGTGACGTCGTTCCATTTGCCGCGTCTGAGAAAACCATTCAGTTGCGATCTAATGAGACCCTGGTTCGTTATGTCGTGCTCACTACCGCCGAGAAAGTGAAAAATATTCGCCTTGAACCTGACTATAAGCAACTGGCTTACAGCAAACGTACCTTAAAGCAGTTAACAGACATCACCAAGGTTATTTATGAGCGTTGCATTCGGCGCTTGCCCGAGCTGTGGCGAGACTTTGACATGCAGACCTCATCGCTGGCGGCTCAATGTTTTGTTGAATGTCTACGAACAGCCCACGAAACCTATCCCAAGAAGTTCAAGGAATTTGTCAATGGATTTGGTAAGTCAAATTAAAAAAAAAAACAATTTTTAAAGCAGAACTCGTATAAACTAATTTCTAATTGGTTTATTAACCGTAGATATGGCATTCCTGAACAAAAGTAAATCGGTGACCTATGTTGTCCAGGATGTGGTGCACCAGTTTATGAAAGAGTATGAAACTGATGAATCACTTACGAAAGATATCTTTACCGCGAAATTGCCGGTATGCCTGCTGGAGTCATTGGAAATTCTGTTTGACCATATAGATTACGGAGAGCGTGCGGTAACTGAGTCCTATAGTTGGCTCCTCAATTTTTGCCGTACTTATGAGTTGGTAAATTCCGAAATGGGATTGGTGCATCGCCTTCTATTTGTCCAGCGTCAGAAAACGCACTCGGGTCCCTTTTTTGATAGCATTGCTAAACAATTGGGGCATGTGCTTGGCGCGCTTAATGATGACATATCAATAGATGTTCCAGATCCAAGTCTTAAGTCCATAAGCACAATTACAGCAGAGAGCTGTTTGCAGCATCTCTATGTTGCCGTCCAGAAGCAGCTGCAACATGTGGAATATTTCGTCGTAAAGGCCAACAATTTAAGCTACAATTGCCAACTAGTGCCTGAAGCAGATAAAAGTTATTGGCGGGGAAAACTAGATGTCATGGAACGTTCTATTTGCACTCAGATAATTCTCATTTCACGCACGTTAGTGGCTCTCACCAATGTCTGTATTCCGCTGGGATCTTCTATGGAAGGACTTATGAAATTATTGATACAGCACTACGTATGCCTGAAGAACCTGACAAAGCACTATTTGTCCTGCTGCACATCAGATGCCAGCATTGCCAACATGCGAAGCACTAAGTAAGTACTGCATGCAGACATTTCTCATAGCAAAAGAATTTTATTCAGTTTATTGTCAATCCTTACACAGATTCGAACTGCTTCTACGGGAAGTAGGAAAGCAACTGCCGGCCAATGTCTATGAACTTATTACTTACATAGAAGCGAATACTCTCGATGAGGACGCCAATAAGCATCTCAAGAATAACGTACAAGCACAGCGAGCAAAAGTGCTCAGAGAGACTCGCCATATTCCCAAAGTAATAATGGTTATTGAGGACTTTAACAAGCACATTATTTTATTGTCCAAGAAGACCAAAACCTTTAATAGACTAACAGATTATCTGCATCTGGGCACCATGCGGGACTTTGATATAAAATCAGCTGATCTCAAAGCGGCAATAGAACGCACTTTATCGGACACACACGAGATTGCTGAAGATGACTGTAATAGAGAGGATATGGAGGATATTGATCACTCTAATGAACCAAACAACGAGGAGGAGGAGGAGGCGGAACTGGAGCAAGCCCCTAACAAGAGACAACGACAAAGACGAGTTCTTAGCAGTGATGCAGAGGAGTCGCAACCAAAGCGTAAACGTGGTCCCAAAGCAAAGAAGGTCCAGAGAGCTAAACCGCAGAGTAATGATGAGCAGGAAAGCAATGAAGAGCAGTTAGAGCCCGTTCAGAAAATGCAGCGGTGTAATATAACTAAAAAAAAACAAACGAAAAAGTCCAGTCGTCTTTTGGATGAGGGTACCAATGCCAAGGAGTCAGCTGAGGAACCAGGTCCGACAGAGCAGCCCACAAAAGACATTCGTAAATCACAGGAGCGCGAGACGGGACCCAGGCCGCGTAGGGTCGGTTTGTTACGTTCAGGAAAGAAATAAATGCGATTTCTGGCTAAAGCCTGACATGAGAGGATACTCTCAGCGCGTGTATCCTTTTAAGGTAAATCCATTCAAGTTTCCAACCTATGTTTGCCGACCACTCACCGCACTCACCACTCAAAATCATAGCAGGGTCTCGCCATTCCCTGCTTGGACAAATATATCAGTATATACCAGTTCCATTGGAAGTGCAAATAGTGCCATGGTTCAGTGTGCTTGGTTGCCCGACGGAAAGTAGTTTAGTTTTGCAAACCATTTGCTGGGTCTCCAGATTAAAATATATTGAATTAAAATATCCTTTCTACTCCTATGCATATTTTTACCATAATATGATACGAGTACAAAAATATACATATATAAAGCAGCATATAAATATATAAAGTATTCAATGCATATAGAATCAACTGATTTTGAATATTAAGGGAATAAGAAAAATGCATGGATACGCCAGTAAGGTCAAAATTCAATAGACAAATAATAAATCTGTTTTAATTTAAACGATTCCCATTACCAAATAAAGAATGCATGACACTCGCTATATGCGAGACGGGAAAGAGTATATAAAGTTCACCAAGATGACCATGTGCATACACTTTAAGAACTTTAAATTTAACGTGGAAAATATCTTCAACGTCGATCGAATTTTGGGAGAAGTGGAAAACACCGTCATCAAAAGCATTATTTTTATTTCTTATAACTACATTATATTCTTCAGGCATTTGTGGATATCCATTCCTTTCAAGAGATAGCGGAAGTCATATATTTGCAGTTTCCAGCGATTTCAGTTTGAAGCATCTCCACGGCCATGTCTGCTGTACTATGGCTGCGGAAACCTTATGTTTTTACATGTGGATCCAAATTCGTTGCAATCTAAGGAACGGTTCTGGTTTCGTAGACAAACAGCCGGCGGTTAATCCCATCCAGCAGATGGTGACAATATCTTCCAAAGTTTTAATTGAAAGGTCCATGGACACTTAGACGATGATGAAGATCGGCAGATATTGGAATAACCAGAGAAATTGATTCTTTACTGCTTGCTGAAACCCGATTTACCTATTAACTGCAAAAACATCCCTTCCTACCGGATTACCAACACACTCAGATGCTACGCAATTGTATAAATATGCTTTTCAAGTTACATTCAAGTTCGCGTTAAATTGTGCTAAATTGGAGATGGAATATTTTTCAAGCGGTCGCAAACAAACATCGATTTCCAAAACAAGAATCGATGTTTACACCAAAACCAAAGAATCGATTATATCGATGTTTGAATCGATTTTTTCCCAGCTCTATAATGGAACCGGAACAAACAGCAAGCAGCACCGAGAGTACGTCCTGTAAATAAATTAAATATCTCGTATTTTATGGATATCTTACAGCCGAGTCCGGCATTGATCTGTTGGTCATCGTGCTGGACACGAACCCATCTCAGCACATCGTCCGCCAGAACCCGCAGAACCTTACACAGATATTGGAGGCGGTGATCGCTTTCGGCAATGCGCATCTCATGCAGAAGGCACAGAACAAATTGGCGGTCATATCCTGCGCCCATCACGCAACGTAAGGGTGGGTCTTTCTTTTAATTATAACCTTGATATTGAGCACGTTTCGCTTGGGCAGAAATTTCCTCTACCCGCAGCCGAGGCGACAGGTGGAACTGCGCCAGATCGATGGCCAGTACGAGGCCTTCAGTTTGGTGGAGAAGACAGTGAAGCAGCAGCTGGGCAGCATTCTGATGAATGCCCCTAGCCTTGGTGCACCATCTGAGAGCCTGCTGGCTGGCAGTATGGCCATGGCACTGTGCTACATATCAAGAGTGAGTAGAGATCTGAGCTTTAGAGACAAACCAATTTAATTGGAAATCTATTACATTTCAGTTGCAACGCAATGTTGCCGCCGGCGTGAAGATGCACTCTCGCATCCTGGTGCTGACGGGCAGCAATGAGTGCTCCTCCCAATACATGACGTTCATGAATGTCTTTTTTACCGCACAAAAACTTGGCATTACCATCGACACCTGCGCTTTGGATAAAACCCTGAGCTTGCTGCAACAAGGCTGTGATATCACCACTGGCCAGTTCCTAAAGGTCACCCAGTTGGATGGACTGCTTCAGTATTTACTGTGGGTCTTCCTGCCGGCACCGCAGATGCGACACAAATTGGTATTGCCGCCACCGCCAAAGGTGGACTATCGCGCCTCCTGCTTCTGCCATCGAGAGCTCATCGACATTGGCTACGTCTGCTCCGTTTGCCTATCTGTGTTCTGCAAATACAGCCCCATTTGCACCACATGCCAGTGAGTAAATATAGCTTTTCCTTTTCCAATTTATAGTACAAGTCATATTTTTACCCTTACAGCACAATTTTCAAGACTCCGGGACCACTGCCCGTAAAGGCTAAAAAGAAAAAAAAGGATAAGCAAATGTAACTTCAAGCGAAGCTGTCGAACCATCACAGTAAATATGCATAAAGATTCGTATAAAGACATTAGATACGTAGCGGAATTCGATGGATGGGCATTACACTTTGATTTCGGTTCCTTTGTATTCTATAAAAACAAATCCCATCATCGCACACAAAGATGAAAACTCAGTCCATTTACGCCTCAGTTTCTATTCAGGAACAATTTTTTTTTAATTTCATACATTTCTTGTAATTTTACTAAAATACATTGGGCCAAAGTTGGCTGGCAGATAGGGTACCACCATTTGACCATATTTAAGGCCCTTGGGATGCTCAAACTTAAACACATCCGCAAAGAGCTCCGTGTATCGGCTCAGATCTTTGATCGTACAAGTGATGCCATGTTCAAGGAAGACTTTCTGCAGGGCCATGTGAACCACGCCATCGTTCTGAACGGGAGATAGCGAGCAGGTGGAGTAGACGAGGCTGCCGCCGGGTCGAAGCAAGCGCAAACAGTTGGTCAGAATGCCCGCCTGGAGCTCGGGTATGCGTAGTCGTTCCTTGATGCGCGACGGCTTGAAGATGTTGTTGTCCTGCTCCATGACGACATGACGATCGGTGGTACAGGGCACATCCACCAGTATTTTGTCGTACTGCTCGTACTCGTCCAGATTGCGGGCATCACTCTGGCTAAAGATCAGGTGCTTTGCGGCCGATCGCTGCTTGTAGTCGAACAGGAACTCCTGCATGAGGCGGCGCAGTCGGTTCAGACGCGACTCCTGGATATCGTTGCATACCAGTTGGTCCAGATGCAGTGTCTGCAGCAGCAGCAGGGACTTGCCACCAGGCGAAGCACAGGCATCCAACACCTTCTCGCCGGGCTGCACCTGTAGGAAGAGTGGGGGCAGGGTGGAGGCGCCGTCCATCATGAAGTGTGAGGAGACGCCCGTGAGGCATTTCTTCGGAGCCTTGAAGTCCGAGCAGTTGCCCATCTCGTAGGTGTAAAGAGCCAAGTGCTCGGGATAGTGGAACGAAGTTTCCGGCTCTATCCTGAGGGGAAAGTCTACATCGGTCTGATAGTACTTGTAGTGCTCCGACTCGGCCACCCAATCCTCCATGCCCTTGATGCTGTGCGCAGGCATATACTCGTACAGGCCGCCAGTGCCAAATTGGGGGTCGACTAGGCGGTGCTCATCCAGCTTCACATCCTCCTCCAGCGCTTTTGTCAAGCTCTGCTTGAAGTCCAGCGACTCTGTTTGGGTCTCCTCCTTTGCCTCGACGTTGTCATACCTCAATTGTTGTGGCATCTGGACAGCCGCGCCATCCTCTCCAGCACTGGGGTAAATGGACGCCACCTCGCGTTCCTGTTGCTTTCTCAGCAGCGCATCAAGTTTGTCGTCTATTTCGTAACGATTCTGGCCTTGTCCCTCCGGCGCTGGTTCTGTCCCCCGAAGACGTTCCTGGGCCAAATTGATGAGGGACTTCATGTTGATGGCCCCGTCCGTTTCCAGCATGCTGCAGGTCTGTTCCGTGTCCCCGAAATTGTTCACCATTGCTATGTACTTGTGCCTGGTGAGCAGTGCGGCACGCATGTTTTTCCACCGGCTGCCGTAAACGGAGCCGTAGAAGTCATCGAAGCTGTCTATGGCCCGGTCGCAGTTGTTTTTCTTGTTCTGCAGCACATTCCATCGCTTCTTTCCTCCACTTTTCCAGCGTCGCTGCAGCCAGCAAAGGCTGCGTACGTTCAACATTTCTATTTTGGATTTTGTAACAATATCAGAAATATACCGCAATGTACCGATATACTGATAACATATTTATCGATAATATGTCAAAATATACCGAGGAAAAATACTAACTTAACCCACCTAACCCCGCTATATTTAAACAGTTGAAAACCATGAGTTAAGCCGCGGGAAAAAATACTCTTCTAGAGTATTACTCTTCTTATAATCTTCTAGATTAAAAAACAAAAATAAGCACATCTTTCACATGAAATACGTAGAAAATGTTCAAGTTTCAAAACATTCCCAAACTCAGCGCTAAAATAACTTTATTTTGAAAAAATGTACATTACATTTACTCAAAAGCGCGATTTAAATTTGCGAGTTGTTTATATTTGCTTCTAATATGAATAGCTGATAAAGTTAATCGCTGAACACTTTGCTTGAACTTTGGAAGCCATTATATTACTCATTTCATGAGAATTCAACTGATAATTCAAGATTAGGACGAGTTTTTCAGTCGAAGTTCTGAGTCGCTTCGGTAAATATGCATTTTAAGGGAATCTTTATGGTTTTGTCCGCGCTTCTCCTGGTTGGCACTGGTGCAGATTCAATGCATGCGGTCTTTTCGGACGCAGAGCATCCCGGCAAATGTGTGATTGATGGTCTCATTCTGAGCGACAGACAGTGGATGCGACATCCCAAAATGTGTGCTCTCTTGTGGTGCGGAAGGAACAGCATAGGAGGGATACACACGTGAGTTTTGAAATGCATCTCAAAGCGTTACAACTAATTGAATATTGAATTAGATGTAAAGAGGTTGTTCCACCGCCTGGCAGTAGGTTTGGCAGATACACGGCCCCAAAAGCTGATTATCCCGCATGCTGTCGTCGTGAAATTATTGAAGAACCAACAAAATAAAAGCAAATTGTACAAATGACATTCAAATATTGTTAGCCTGCAGAAGAGAATGGGTGGATTAAGTAAATCGGAACAACGTTGTTTTGTTGAACTATAACATCCCATATGAGTATAATGATAATTTCATTAGCATTAAAATCATAATTGATATATTGATATTGATATATATACATATAAGGCTTTCTCGTCCATTATTGGCAAAAATTAAGTTGACATTCGTTCCTGGGGCTTCAACAATACAACCTAAAAATATGTTACCCATTATTTTCCCATTCTAAAAGCTATGTGATTTCTGTAAAATTTTGTTTTTGACAAACCCGTCCGCGGAAATGCGACGATATGTTATTGAGTAATATTTTAGTGCTGTGTTATATGAGTGTTACAGTGAAATGTAAAATTAAGTCCATTGGTTTTATGTTAAATGTCCAATTTTAAATATAGCGCGTAAATTTTTAGATTAAAGTTTGTCTGACAAAAATGACAAAAGCTAATGAAATATTTTGAGAATTATTTAAGACTATTGAATTTAATGTTAATAAATTCATTGCCAGTGGTCGTTGCGCGGTTGATAGCGTAGACACATAGTAGATTGTAAAATATCGGATTTTAAATGTATTTCACATTTAAATCTCGATTACAGGCAGCAGCCCTGTAACTTTTCATATTTAAGCGATTTTTTTATTTTTCTGGACAATGATCCAAAGCCAATGGGCTCTGCGAAACTTTTGCATGACTTTTCCCGGTCTGAAACAAATAAATCCCAGTTAAGACTCTTTCCAACGCACAAAAAGGGAACCAAACTTGTATGGCTCGATTTAATATTCCATTAAATAATTCAATATTCCTTCGCTTTCACTACGACATCGCTTTTATTTGTAGATAACTTTTGAATATATGCGTGTTAAGTACAATAGGCGGGCTGAAAGTGTTGTTTCATCTCTGAGGCATATGTATGTAAGAGATACTTAGGGATACAGCAAACTAAAATCTATAATTTGTGATTGGTATATACAGTCCAGGGTGACCAATTCATTCGGTGCCTCGGTGCTTGGCTCTGTTCAAAAGTCATCTGAGTAGATTGCAATCCATGCTAGAAACGCGATTCCGCTCTAATAGCCTCTCGAGGACTTAGGGCTTGGCGGGTATGTCCTTCAATGGGGTCTTCTCATCCTTGGCCTCTGGATCCTTGGGCGATCCAGACTTGTTCCACGGCTGCTCACTGCCAGATCCAAATATGACAAAGACCAGGAACTCCAGGGCGAAAAGGACAATTGTCACACCAAAGATGATGCGCCAGGCGGAAATGTTTTGCTATAAGAAAAGGGGAAAACCAGTGAAAAGTTACGCACATGATGCAGTAAATTAATAGTGTCTTCTACTTACGTTGCCATGGGTGACGAAGCCAACGAAGAGGGGCACTATAATGCCCGGCAGAGTGGCCGCCGTGTTGGTTAGAGCCACCAGAGTGCCAGCAAAGTTGGGCGCAATATCGATGTGATTGGAGAGGAATCCGGAGAACATGGCGCCCATGGCCACAATGCCCACGGACATAACGGTGACGGCTTCATAGTGAAGGCAGCCAATGTAGCACAAGATCAGCAGACAAATACCCGGAACGATCGTGCAAATGGAGGTGGCCGTCTTGCGGGCAAAGGTGGTGCTAATTTTACCTGGAAAGAGCATTCGTATGAGCATCAGTATGAGAGCTGGAAGAAGAGCTTTAAGATCAGGAACTCACCCTTCGACTGGAGGGTGTCCAAGAGCTTGCCGAGAACAATACTGAAGATGATCATGGGGAAGTAGGGAAGGGCGCTGAGCGCCGCATTGCTGGCCACATTGAATTTGAGCACCTGCTTCATGTAGAATGGGATTTCGATGAGGAACATGTACCAGCCAAAGTTGTTGCACGTGTGGGCAATGAGAATGGCCCAGAACGGAATCGACTTGAAGACCTTGCCCCATGGCACGGCTGGATGATGTTCGACCTTCTGCTCGGTGCCCAGCGAGCTGGTGATCATCAGACGCTCCTCGGCGCTGATGAAGCGCTGCTTATTGGGATTGTCCTGCACCAGGACAGTCCACAGCAGCATCCAGATGCAGCTGAGCAGACCCATGACATAGAACACAGACTTCCAGCCCCACTGGGCGGACAGCATGCCGGCGAGCAGAATGGACAATGCTGTGCCCGCAGATGTACCCACATAGATGATCGTGGACATGACCATGCGCTCGCTGGGTGGCGCCCACGAGGCAATCATCACATGCATGGCCGGGAAGGAGGCTCCACCGCCAATGCCCTCGAGCACACGCATCAGGATCAGGCCACCGTAATGGAGATTGGTGAAGACAGGCGTCAGCAGGGTGCACACCACATTGATGGCCACCGAGAAGAGCATCACCCACTTGGCCGAGAAGTTCTCAGCCACATGGGCCAGCGGAATCTGCGACACCAGATAGCCCCAGAAGTAGCAGGACAGCAAAGTGCCCTGCAAAGGCTCACTCCATGTAAATGGTCCATCCTCCACCTTGGCCGTGACATTGGTTGCGCCACCGGGCGGTGAGCAGGTCTCCACTGCACTCGCAGCATCCTTTGTGCCATTAAATAGGGTTACGGGTCCACTGCCATGCTGTAACTCATTCAGTTCCTTGATGGCCGTGTGATTCACCATGGCAACCATTGCCACACTGAGATTCACCTTGAGGCCATAGACAATGGCCATGCCAATGGAACCCAGCAGCGCCAGCACATAGCGAGCGGGCACAAGCTCTGGAAAAAAAGAAGTTTTGGTTTGGTTTAGTAAAAGTTCTAACCTCAGTGGAATGTTAATCTTTGTACAGCTTCTATGGATAGTTTCAGTGCCTAACTTGTGCTACGAGAATTTCCATTGGGAACTTCCATTGGGAAATTATAATTAAATTCATAATTCAAAACTTTCTTTCTTATTCTGTTTGGGGTTAAATATTTAATAACAAAATTCATTTGATTTACGCATCGATATCATCCAATTAAGTGAATTAAGTTCTTTATTTTATTTGTTAGCATTTCGAAGCCTTTAAGTTTATTTGAAACTAGCAATTACATAGGAGTTCCTGCAGTTTAATCACAGCAGCCAATTCCCATACAGATCCGGTGTATAGAATTTCATTTACAGATATAGATATGACACAATATGCATTGGCAGCAGTCACCTGGGCTGCTGGTATTTACCAGCCAGACACGAGTTCTTCTAATTGCCAGCCCGCCCCTGATTAGTGACAGTTGGGTAGGGTCAGTGTACGTGTATGCGGGGGTGCCACGCGCGTTGATACCCCAAATCCTGCCCACCTTGATGGTGGAACGATGTCTGGCAATTGGGTCTGTATGTATATGCGTACGCTCCCACAGATAACAAATTGTATAAATTTATGGTATTTATTTTCAATTTCCCTTTCACGTCTGTCAGAAATGTGTCTTCTGGGCTGGCAACACAATTATTATTTATGTTTGCTAATTGTTATTCGTTCTATTGATTTTGTGGGCTATAGGTTGTTCAAAGTTTGCAAAAATACCCTTATTTTTGGGGTACTAAAAATTGTTTGCTTAGAAAAAAATTTCAAAATTACAAAAGTTTTCTTATTTCCAGAAATTATAACTATTCAGAAAGTAAAATAAACCGAGGAACAAAGTGGTTCTAATTTTTAAGATTCCACTTTATAAAGCTAAGTAAATATATAATTTTGTTTTACCCACAGCTCAATACATTAAAATCGCTGGTTCTAATTTCTAAAAATTAAAAAATTCTGAGAGTTATTATTTGTGAGCTGCCATTGCAGTACGAACTTTTAACTGAAGAGCATTTAAATTTCGTTGTGCATTCATTTTCTCTTTGGTAAATCTTTGTTTGCTCCAGATATAAATTATCAACTGTTCATCGATGCCCGCCCTCGTAGTGCTATATTTATTTATCAGTCTGGTCGGGTGGGGTCTGGGTTTGGATACGATCAAGTGTGGATAAGTGTTGGGGCTATCTTTAAAGTAACAAGAACAGAGGCAAACCTATACAGGGGATAACAACCCATTAAACTGTCTGTTCAAGATACATGTGTACATACTCGTACATACTCATTTGTGATAATTTCTTATGTAGCTAAAAAAAATTCACAATATTATCACAAGAGGCATGTGAAAAGAGAAATATTTTTTTAAATATTTATGAGGGAATTGGCTGCACATGTACGAATTTTGAATTTACCAATTCTCTGATAAGAACTCACAAGTTTCGTATTTTTTTATTGCTATAAAATTCGATTAGATTCTCTTTATCATCTGCTCTGGCTGGCTGGCAAAATGCCTCCAAAGAGGCGTAAAATTCTGCATTGTTTGTTTCCAGTAAACATTATTATTTGCATATTCAAACGCTTGGCTAACTTTGATCAGTGTTTACCCCCTAAAGCATATTGTTGGGATAGGCAATACGTACATACATACTGATGTACGATTACGTAGTTAAAATCATAAATGTGGCGACAGTTTGTCTTCAGAGTTTCGGTTTGGGGAAATACCAACAAAAAATGTTTATTTAAGAATTAAGATATATAAAAATATCTGCAAGAATTGTGTATATCTTTGACTTCCATGTGACCTTGCCCGGACAGTAGACCGAGTCTGGGCATAAAAACGCCAAAAACAAATCAAATATGCTATAACCAGGGCGGGGTAGGTGGCATCTAAAAAAAGCCGCTCCGAACTGAACATAAAGGATATCCACAAGCACACAAACACACAGACACATACATATATATATATATATATATATATGTGTATACAGGAAGCTATCCATGTACCTACGACCGGGACTCACGCACACTCGAACGACCTTTCAGCCGGCTTTAAGGTCAAAAGTTTGTTGTTAGTTCCTGGCCTTGCATTTCGCACAATTGCCAACAATTTTCATCATACGCCACACACTTGTTGCACTTGCACTTGTCCAAAATAGATGCAACCAGATGGAGTGAGTCCCAGCATCACACCCACCCACAACGGACTGCTATGACACTTACTGCCCAATATGCTGCCTCTGGCAGGCACTTCCTCCGTCATTTTGTGTGTGTGTGTGTGTGTGTTGTTGGCTTGCAGTAGCAGCTGGCGAACCGACAAACAAATGGAAATAGAATTTATCGAGGGGGACACCGACTCCTCCTTATAGTTAGTTGTCAGCTTATGCGCGGCAAACACCAATTCGAATTCGAAGCGAAGCTATCACTCGCGGGCACGTTGCGTTCCCTGAAACAGTTGCTCTCCAACTGAGGCGGCAAGCTGGAATACTCTTAGGTTTTTGTGCGTCGTCGTCCGTCCCCCAAATATTTTGCGTTTCATTTGGAGAACACGCCTTACTCGCTATATATGCCCATACATATGTACATTTGTATGTATGTATAGCTGCGCGTTTGAATTGTGTTTGCTTCTGTTTTTGGCCCAGTGGTGGCGGTTCTTGGTTCTCGGCTTTTATTTTTTGGGATCTTATGGACTGTACTGAAGTCACAGTTGCCTGTCGAGGGTTCGGCTGGGGTTCGGCTGGGGTTCGGCTGTGGCTCGTCGGGCCTCGCTGGGACGTACTGAAAGTTGATGTCGTCATGCTTGGAGTATCTTGAACATTCCGCCGTCATGGCTCTTGCTGTGGCACGCATTTCGTTTGGTTTACATTCGATTGCATCGCCGCTGAATAGCGTTGGGGTCGTCATGCTTTTTGTCAGCACACTCTCCCCTGCGCATGCCAATGGGCCTGAAGCAGCGCGTTAATATCTAAAAATGCTTCATGAGTGGGACAATATTAGCTGTGTTTTTTTGTAGCAACGTTTTGACGTTATTTGACGTAAAGTGATGTTTGTAATTTAATAACAATTAAAACATTTAAATACATTTAATTGTTAACCAAATATAAACATATTTCAGCTAGCATTTGACACTCATAGAGCATTATATTAATTTGTTTCAATTGCTATTAAATGTTGATCCTCTAACATTTCATGTATGGTATTCAAAGTACAATAAAAGATCTGTTTGTGGGAATATTACATAGCGTAAACTATTAAATATAAACTTTATAGTTTAGTAGTTGCTGGATGGCCTGTGATGTATCAAGAATTTCCGTGTAGAAAATATTATCACTTAAATGTAACTGCTGTAGTACTAACCACTTCTTATAACATTACACGGACGATAATATCAAAGGCAACAAAAACGAGAAGGAATGTGTGAGTCGCTTCTGTGGACGCGACTCTACTCTTATACCCTTACTCTGTCATGATTTGTGTAGAATTTTAAAATATTTTACATATAACATTTTTTTGCTACATCTGTCATCTACATCTTACATGTTGATTCTACATCTAAAATGTAGATAATACATCTACAATATAGGTTCTACATCTCTCCACAAAGGTCTCTCATTGCACAGAGAATGAGTAGCTGGTCTCGTGCTGTAGCAGGTGGGGGAAGCAACTGAAAACTTATTTCTTTATGATACGATCTGTACCAGATTCGGCAATCTGGTAGATATGGTAATTTTCTATGATACTGCGCTTTTTTTTTTTGTATCTTCAAAATTGTGGCTGCCACAGATTTTAGTCTTTTGTGGTGGCGGAAGGGGCCGGTCGCCCCATGTGTGATAACACATGAGTCTGGAAACAAAATTTGGTTACTCTAGCTCTGATAGTCTCTGAGAACTAGGCGCTCATCGGGACAGACGGACAGACGAACGGATGGACGAAGAGACAGAAATGGCTATATCGACTCGGCTATTGATGCTGATCAAGAATATATATACTTTATGGGGTCGGAAACGTTTCCTTCTCTGCGTTGCACAGATCCACTTTTACCACAAATCTAATACACCCCTTAACTCTTTCTGATTACGGGTATAAAAAGCCCTACGTGTAGAAAATATAAGTCCGGGCGACGACGACACAAAACTATTTTATATTATAAATAGATATCCATTCAAAACCTAGCTATATCGCAAGGGATCGACTCAGATTTGGGTCTGTGTATCTCTTAACTTATGCACAATTCGTTATATAAGCATAGGCAATTGCAATCGATTCGATTACCCTGCCCTGCTCAATTCAAACCAGCAATATATTTACATGGGTAAATAAGCTGCTACACCTACATTTAAATGTGTGTGTGTGTGTGTGACTGTTATAGCCGCAAGTATATACAAAGTCAATATTAAACATGCAAAACGCGTGCATAAAATTAGTATAAACATGGCAAGCCGAACTAGACCCAATTGCCCATCAAACCAAAAAACCAAACTCAAATGTATTAAAAATATTTTGTTATTTTTCTTATTATAACTTCATTTTAAAATCGGTTTAATCCAGTTATTTTTCTGACGTTTATTAGTAGAAACTAATTCATATTTGGGTAGGTAATTAACGACAATCTTATAATTTTTCCAATGGAACAGTCTTATGATAAGAGGTGTGAAATCGAGCAACCCGTGAGGGGAATCAAAATCACTAAGACAAATGTTTCCCATTGCACAGCAGGTGCTGTACGAATATAACTCAGAGAGAGAGTCGGTGTAAAGTGAATAATAAATTGATTGAATTTATTGTTATTGAGGAACTGTCTTAATGTGTTATTTAGGTATGGATTGCTGGCTAAGAACTTTCAGTTCAGTGTGAGGCAGTAAAGAAAACCTTGAACTAAAGAACTTTTGGTTAGACTTGAAAATTTTAATTTTAGTTGATAAAATTACTTCTAAGACAACTAATCAGCTAGACAAATAAAACAAACATTTACTCAAATATAAATTGCAATTTTCCTGTTCTCTTTGTTTTATTTAAATTTTCCTGAAAGCAACTTAAATTCTTTTACATTTACTGTTTACCATTTCTTTTCTGGTCACTGCTCAGTTGTTGATATAATATGCAAATTGTTCACTCGAGTTGTTCCATATTCCTGCCACTGCCTTCTTCCTCCCCAACTTCAGGCTTCAATGGTCCCCCCCTGCAGTCGTTATCCACACACACCCATACACGCCCCCATACATATTAATGCCCGCTTCTTTTTTTGTTTGTTTTTTGCTATTTTTTGTGTTGTTTGATTTGCATTTATTTTGTATTGTTGTTCCTTGGCCATATGGCAAATTGGGGTACATACGCTGAGGCTTAGTGTCTGTAACATTTTGCAAACAGACAAACGAGACTGCGAGCACTTCCGATTAGATATGATATTTCACACAAGGAAAAGTGTTGGACATATGTTGGTTCTATAACTGGAGTCGGCTCACTGAATGACCTAGGTTTAAAATTCCCTTTCGTATAGGATTCTGGTATATATTCTCATAATTATATTGTTGTACTTATCATCAGAATATTTACACCCTTATGACATTAACGCTTTCATTATCAAGCAGTCTTGGTTCAACGATCGTATATTTATGTTTGGATGCAATAGCTACCATTCGTATCTATGATCTGCAACATTCAGAGTTCCCTTGTTATGTTTTATTTTGTTTATTTATTTAACCAACTGTTTAAGCTATTGTCTATGGATGACAAGGGCCTGTCTCTGATGTCTGTTTGCATAAAGTTGGAGCTCATCAAATTCCGGTAGCAGAACTTTTATTGTTTCAGTTTCTGCTTCTGTTTTTAGACCCACTTCCACAATGGATTTCATGGATGCCTGGTTGGCTCGGTTGCCTGGTTGGCTCGGCTGTTGCATCGTTGTCATTTGCAACTGCATGGAACATTACGTAAAAGATGAATAAAATAATGTTCTCTAGGCTAGAACGAAGCACAGGAATTTGTTTTCGATGTTGAGGAGGGCTTCGGTTCTGATGATGAAACCCATCAGAATTCGGTTGATGTCAATGCGTGTGCGGAGACCAATTGGTTTTTATTTAATTTTTGCACACACTTCGATGGGCAGACCATGCCCCCCCCACCTCCCTCTTTGTATCTTCCACTTGATTTGTTTAGTTGTTAATTGGCCTTCATTGAATTGTCTTCCAATTTTCAATTATATAACATTTCTTTTGGCTCTTTTGTCTTCGATTCGGTTGACAACAGAACCAAAAAAAAAATATATATACATATATAAGGAAAATGGATACTTTATGACTTTTTCATTGAGAAGCTGTTGCTGCGCCATTTGTGGCCTCTGAAGAAGCAATTCAAGTGTCGCCCTTTATTCGCCCATTGCTTATTTTCTCTTCTATTAATTGTAACTGATGCTCGCTGTAGGGCCCAAAATTGACACATTTCTATGCTGGCAAATGGGATTATTAATTGTACAGATTCTCAATTCAATGAATTGGCTGTGAAAATTTTGGGGAAAGTGAATTTTTATTCATTGAAATGATTTATAGGTCGTTGTCCTCTTTGAAACATCGAAATGGTAAACATTAACAGTGCTCTGCTATGGTAACATAGCATAAGGTGCAGTTACAGGTAATGTTATGTTAACAGAGCTACTGGTACAGCTGTACCTTTAGAGTACAATACGAATGCGGCCCACAAAAATAGTTACATTATCCTAAAAATAGAAAAATAAAAAAAATAAAAATAGAAAATCGCTATTAAATTTGGAAGCTTGAGAACATAGTTTATTGGTATTTCAGACATCTGTTGATTAGTGGCTAGTATTTATTGTCTCTGCAATATTATTGATATATAAAAATTGGTGTGAATATTTACTATTCTATAATCAAATATCTATAACATGTAAGTGAAATGAAAAATATGATAGCGTCGATATAAAATCATCGCCTCTGGACGTCAAGGATTTCGCATGATTTATTGCATAAATAACTTGTTGGTGTCTCAGAACTTAAAGCGATTCAATAAAACATAAATAAAGCTTCTAGGCGAACTAAAATCTGTTAGAATTCTGATAGAAAAATTAAAAGAGGTTTCCACAAAACTTCTATAAGATTTTCGCTTTTCGGTTTCAACAACCAACTCTCTTCTTAATCTCTATGATGGTTAAAATTGTACCCTCTCTTATGCCCCATAAACGACTTTTCCTTCAACTCTTAGCCCAACTAATCGTCAGCTATGCATATTTCCACCAATATGCTGAATAATCCGTAAGCCCCCCAATGATTTTGCATTGATTTTCAAACCAAGGACATATTTTATTTAATCGTAAATCAGTTGTTTCATAAATAAATATATATATATTTTCAAATTAAGCTCGCATAATGAACTTAGGACGTAAATTAATGGCCAAAATACATATTCAAGAGGACCCAAAAAGAGTAAGGAAAAGTATATATGTACTCGTAATATATATGTCAAAATATGTTATAGTTACTTGAGTGTTCATATTTGTGTATATATATATATTTATGTATATATTATATTGTATTGTATTTTATACACACACACATATACGCTAGCAATGCATTTTAAATACTCTTCCGATATATATATATATATATGTATGTATATATTATAGTATGCATGTATAATATAATTTATGTTTATCATATTCCATAGTACATATGTATGTATATTTGATTATTACCCAAAAAACAGTCAGACAATTTTCATTCAAATTAAATGTATGCGCGTCATCTCCCCATCGCCGGCAAATCCATTCTCCATCCTCGATTCGTTTCGGCATAGAATATTTTTTAAATATTTATGCCCTGAGCCACTTGCTTAATTTTGACAAATAGTTTTTGCATATTTGTATACATATAGTAGGTATATCATATATATATATTTATATATATATATATATATAGCTGTGGATATTTGTTTATATCTGTTAATATATAATTGTTTTAAAATCATCATCAAATGTCCATCTGATTGGATCATCATCTTGTCCTCGAGTCGGCATCGGCGCATCGTCCACTGTATAAAAGTTCTGTTCTGCTTCTGGTTGTAGCACAGTGTAGTTCAAGTGTAGTGCAGTGCAAAGGGCGCTTTGTCTTCCAACAAAAAATGTTCAATTTATTAAATTAAAGCAGTTTAATGGACTGATAATTGTCATATCTGAGCTCGATTAAAGTTGATAACTGGCCGTCGAATCTTTCGATTTTTAGGGCCTACGTTATCGATATTTGTAGCGTTTCTTCTCTCTTCTCTTCTCTTCACTTTAATTCTCTTCTATTTTTGTACTACTTAGTCCGGGAAGCCTCTAGTTTGATAAGTATTACACACACGTAGATACTGATAGTTTCGGTTTCGCATTAGTTTTCATTGTACATTAAGTTGCCATAGACATCGACATCGATTAAGAGTTTGCGGGGGTAAGTTTTACTTTAAGTTCGGTTAGGATTTGGCTACATTAGTGTTAGGTTTTTAATGTAAGACAAAATCGTAAAACCCTGTGTCCAGCGTCCTATAAAAAACATTCATCTGATTATGTTTTCGACACACACACCATACTCGTTTTAGTGTTAATATGCGTATAACAATACATTGTTTAATTGTTAGATTTGAGTTTTAAAATTGAAATTCTACACAGAAATTGCACACGAGGTTGACCTTGGCTCTATCTCATTACTAATTGAGTTTTTTGGTTATTTTGTTTGTTCGATTTTCAAATATTTTCTATAAATGTTCAGAGGAAATACCACTATAGCTTATCGATGCATCCTGCAACACCCAACTCTCTAGAAGTACTTCTCGCCATTGTAGCTGGATCCGCGCTCGGCCACGGGTTCGTTCATGAATTGACTTTGGCTAATGGATCGCTTCTTCTTGGACACCATGTACCGCTGCTTAGACGAGCCAAATCCTGCAAAAAATGTAAATAACCTTTTCTAGATTCTACTCTCCTTTACTCTCTCCTTGCTGACTTACGGCTATTGACTCCGCTGTACTTGTGTTGACGTGGCACATATTCGTACTGGGGAATCGCTTGGTTCTGGTTATCCAGTGGCATATAGTAGTCCATCATGCCGGGCTGCTGCTGCTGCTGTACAGGTGCATCGAGCCATGCGCCCGCTGGCACATAGTCCAGATCATCGGAGGCAATCATTGGCACTGGTCCAGAGCTCTCCACATCGCTCTCTTTGCGCGCACGTTCGCCGGCTTCGACTAGGGCTACCAGAGCTAACATATCAGCGGGATTCAGTTTGGTGGTGTCTCGCTTAAGGCTGTAATTGCGGGAGAAATATTCAAAAAATAATTTTACAAGTTGCTCTTAACATTTCTCTCTTAAGTGCTGCCAAGCCACTCTCTGTTAGGTGCTGCCAATGTTTGCAAAGTTCAAAACAAAATAATCCAACTCTAATCCCAATAATCAAACACAAAAAAAACCCTAAGGCTTACCGCATATCATTAAAACGACGATATTTGCTCAGGTTGATGTTGTCGCCACCAGTGCTGCCCTGTAGGTTGCCGCCAGTGCTGCCCATGTTGTAGAAAAGGCCACCACGCTTGTTCCTGTCATCCAGATTGTAGTTGCGATTGGCATAGGTCAGTGGAACGGATAGGGGAATGCTCTCCAGATACGCCTCGGCATTCAGCAGATTCTGGAGATTGTCATAGGCCTTGTTGCGGCCAATCGATCCGCCCACTTAGAGAACAGAAACCCAATGAAGATTGGCTGATAAGATCGAAAGCCTCGTGGCACTCACCTCGTCGATCTGGCACATAGTCGTCGAGCTCCTGCAGATCCCTTTCGCCATAGCTGACCGGCACTGCTGCATCGTACTCATCCGCCCACACACCACTGGGCACATCGCTGCCATAGTCATTGGGTGCCATGTAGGGATTATAGTCGTAGTTGATGCCCCGCTTGCGCATCGTGGAGCTGGCCACTGCCTCCTCCAAAGCGGTGGGCTCCTCCTGCACCTGCTGCTGGCTGTTTTGAGCGGCCGCGGCCACAGCGGCCAGGATCTCATCATTGCTGGGCAAAGCATAGATGCCGGATGGACCCTGCTCCAGCTGTTGCTGCTGTTGCTGCTGGTTGATAATCATTTTGTTGGAGCTCCTGGCTGGCGGCGAATTGCTGAACGAAGATGGCATAATTTCCGGACTTGACTTTTTGTCAGCCGATGGCCCTATGGCCTTCGAAGAGGCATCCTCTGACCGTTTTGCTGCGTGGAAATAGAAATACAAATTGAAAATTTTCCATTGCCTGCTTTCTGGGGAATGGGCCAAATTACTACTATTCCCATTTGGTTGATTCAATTCAATTTCGCACCACCCCAACCAAAGAGACCGCAGAAACCAATTAGCCGCAGTCCGGCAACGAGTTTCATAATTGTTTTATACACTCGAACATATTTCTACGCTCACGCTAATTGCTATTAACGCCCCTGACAGCACAGCACAGGACAGGACAGGACAGGACGATAGGACAGCCATGTTTATGTAATTCCATTGGCACCACAGCACACCCCACTGATGAGGGGATTATCCCCTACTAGAACAGAAACCCTTGGCCTTATTATTACGTCTAATCATATTTGTGTGTGTGCAAAGAGGTTTCTTACGCAACAGTTGCCAATGCTAATTGGTTCCATTCCGCGCTTAGCTGGAGACGGAGCCGAACGGATATTGCCGCTGAAGATGTTAATCAAGCGCTGCCTGCCGGCAATTAAGTTTTAGTTAACACCAGCTAAAATGCTCAGCTGGCCATGAGTCCACCACATGCAGCCAGCTTGGAAGTGATCCATCAGCAGCTTTGAAAAGCTGTTGTTGCTGGTTAATCCAGAATTTATGGAGGGACTTTCATGATGATTCCCTCCTTTTTTGCCTGCGATAACAACAGTCATCCCATGTACTTTGCGCCCTCGATTATAATCGAGGGAAAGATAAGAGAGTTGGAGCCCTAAATGGCTATGATTTATACGATATATCTGATGAATATGTTATTAGCTGGTGCTGGCCATCAAGTGGCAATGGGGAGGGAGCACAAAGTTTCGATTAGATAAGAACTAATCGAACAAGGGTGAGAGCACAGAATTTCCCATGAGCATTAACCTGCTATGGCTCGTATTTTGGTGTGTTTTAGTTGAAATATTCATGCGAAATGTTAATGAGTAACAAGGTAGGACCAAAATATGATTAGATATCTAGTCACTAGACTTTTTTAATTTGGCGCCATCTGCATTGCAGTATTTAACCCCAAAAAACCCGCTTGACAAGAAAACTCTGTACTCATTTACGTGTAATAGGAGATCCCTCAAAGAAAGATCCTGCACCACGCCTCGCCACAGACAGAGAGAGAGAGAGAGACTCTATGAAATTCTAGCTCTGCTGTCCTTGTAAAAATATTCCCCTTAATGCTTTATGGATTTACAGCCGTAACCCAGTTTGCAACGCAGTTTGCCCGGAGACCTTAGCGACCAATTCCACTGAAACTCTTGGATAAATGTTTCCCAGAATTCGCAGTCATTTCCCCAGCAACAATTTCTGTGTGTGGCCACAGCAAAAGTCGTGTTCTCTGGTGAGAGAGAGAGAGAGAGAGTGTGTGTGGGGGGGGCAGGTGGTTAGAGTGTTCCCATAAATAAATATATAAAAAAAAAAAAACCAGCAACCAGCTTGGGCTGTGGCTCCTGGCTCTTGGCTCTGACATTTGCTGACGTCGTTCTCGTCCGCATCTCGTCATTGTCCTTCAGGTTCTTGGGCTCTTGTAGAGCTCTAGATTCTCGGGACGTGCAAAGCGCCAGGTTCTCGGGACTTGAGAGGCTCCTGTCCTTGTCGAGAGACTCGGGGTGGGGGGGCTGACATGAAAATGTTCACTGAACTGTAAAAATATCAACAAGTTGTTTGCTTTTCCCCCCTTAACAGAACGAACACACACACACATGCGCACACAGGGGGGAGCTGAGATTATGAAAAGAACGAGTGTGGTTGGACTTTGGTGGCTTTGGGTGTTGGCCTGCTCCTCGTTCTCGTTCTCATTCTCGTTTCGTTCTGTTTACAGCAGCTGTTCAAAGCTGGGAGACAGCACAACATGAGCATGAACACAATTAACGCCATGGCTAAGTGCGTTGTTGGCAGCCTTTAGGGGGTGGGGGCGCTGGCTCCGGGCTCCGGGCTGCTGGCTCCATATCCTAGTGTTTAAGCTCCTGCTGCTGTGCTGTGCTGTGCCGGCCCCCAGCACTCAGAGAAAATAACTTAATAACCATCGGCATATGGAGCAATTTGTGCCACGAAAATGGAAATGCGTTTGAGACGACGCTCGGCCTGGACCCCCCTATAATAGAAGTTTGCGGTTTGCCTTCACTCTTAAGGATCGAATGGGAGCCAGGGATTGGGTGCGCTACTCTGAATATTTCATGGACCCTCCCCTGCCCCCAATGGATGACAGACAGCTCAGTGAACAGCCAGTGAAGCTTTTATAAATATTTAATATACACACTTGACTGCTGTCGCCTTTACCCTGGCTGCTGCTCCTTGCTGGCGCGTAAATTAAATGCCCAAAATGTGATTCAGGGTGGACATTATTCTGTTTGAAATTGGAGCATAGGTCGAACAACTTAACAGATGCTAAGAAAGAAATATTTTGGACTTGGTCAATATGCTAACCCAGAATTTGTGCGATCTATCATTAATAGCACTACTCGACAAAATTTATCTTTTTCCCTCCGCTGTGGACCAAAATAACTTTTTCTGATAGATTTCGGGATTTCAAAATTTGTTTAGTAGTTTTTTTTATGGTTTAGTTATTTTTTAAGAATTTAAAAAAATCTGCTATTTTTTAACTTTTTTTTTCAGAGGTAGTGCTTCTATTTTTCACATGACTTAAGTTTCTTATATCTGGTTGCACAGAACATTTCATGGCTGCATAGCTGACAAGTGCAGCTATAAATCGGACCCAATGTTTTTGTAGCTGCAGCTTAACGTCTAGAAGATATTAAGCTTTCAAATTGAAATTTCATCATTTTTTTTGCGATATATTTTTTTTTTTCGAAATTTTGATTTTAAAAACTCAGGAAAAGTCGGAAAAAAAATAGCCGCATTAATTAGGCATCGTTTAAGGTATTGTTCATTAAAATCAATGAAATCTATAAAATATAAGAAGTCTATGGAAGACTTTATTAATTTATATGCCAGCTAAAGCTAACCCATTTTAGTTTACTGTTTACTGTACTTGAATCATTTAATTTCTTTGTTTTTGCAAAAACCAAGGGTCCACCCAAAAACACCAACCATCCATCTATTATATGTGTAGGTCTATTTGTTGGCTGGTTTTTGACATTTTGATGTGGCGGCGGCTGCCTTTTGGCTCGAGGCGATTGACATTTAAGCCAAGCCCCCACTCGGCCTTTGTGCGGTTTTTGGGCCGGTAACGAACGTGTTGCATCTCGAAATTGGCTAAGGCGAAAATAAAGAACGACGAAGGACTTAACAGCTTGAGAAATGTAAAACTTTAAGGCTGCCCAGCGCTGCTTTGAGCTGCGCTGCGCTGCGGTGTGGTGGAGGAGCAGGAGGAGGAGCAGCTTGGGCTTAAGATGTGGTGAAAGAGGATGCCAGTCGAAAGGCGCCAGGCTCGCAGAACAGAGAGAGAGAGAGCGGGCAGAGAGAGGGAGAGTGTGAGAGGCAGCTGTAAACTTTTGCTTAACTCGATGTCTAAAAATAGAAATTAAATCGCGCGCACGTACGCACACACTTGCACAAGAAGAAGGGCAAACACACACACACACACACACACACACAGCCAAAACACCCACGCACATGCATGATATACATCTACGTATGGGCTAGTGTTTATCTGTGTGTGTGTGTGTGTGTGTGCACAAAGGAGGCTGGCCGCCATTTTGTATGGCGAACGCCTACGCGATGTTTAACGGCGCTCCATAGGTACTCTCGCACTGTACTTATGTACATGTGTATGTGTATGTGTATGTACAGTGGCTAAGATAAGTTTCTGCAGCGCTGAAGAAAAGTTGTAATGCTTTTTTTTATTGCTGTATTTTATTGAAAAATAAACCAAAATTATATACTATGGGAGAAGAATTATTTAATTATGTATTCTAATATATTTTCGAACGAAGAAAACGAAGCATTTTAGTTATATAAGTGCCGAAAAAATCTCTGAAATCTCTAAATATCATGTCGCACCTACGGTTTTTTTTGGTTGATTTGACAAATCTCCCGATTCAAAATCTCTAGAGATTTCTGGGGCACCCCTTAATAATTATATATTTTGGATCGGCATCAATCATGCGACTATATGTACGAGTATTTAAATGCAAATCAGTCTTTTTGATTGAAACCCAACACAGAGAATACGTATACGTATTATAGAAGCTGGAACTGTTACGATGAGTAGGAAAAATCAGTCGAAACCAGAGCAACAAATCTTTAAAAATTCCAGTTAGGATGTATCTATTAATGTAGCGAAATAAAATCGAAATCAGAACACTAAAATCATATGAACCAGACAGCGATGCTAACAACAAGCATTTGCCGCCATAGATTACCTCCCTACGATTATCTTCCAGCTGTAATATATTACCGCTCGCATGCACACTTTTGTTGCCCACTGTACGCACATAAGTATGTGTCTGTGTGTGTGTGTGTACGTAGGGATAGTAATGATTCACAAAGCCAGCGCAAAAGACAACAACAAGGACAACCGCAGAATGGAAATTTGTGAAAACAAGCAGAAGTAGGAGTAGGGAGTGGGAGAAGGAGTGGGAGTGCAAGTGGGAGTGCCAGAGACAAGACAGCGACAGCAACAGCAACAGCGACAGAGCGACAGCTGGCAACGGCAGAAAACACCTACGCAATTTCCTGGCGCAAAAGCTAAGCGGAAAATGGGAAATGGAAATGGAAAATGCTAAATGAGATGAGCCCCGAAGATGGGAGGCACTCAAGCGGATGCCAGTCTCCTGTCGTCAGCCTCCAGCCTCATTCTCAGGCCCCAGTTCCAATTCGATCTCCCACCTAAGCCGTTGTGGGCGGTGAGACAAGAGCAGATTTGGCCCTGGGCCTTGGTCCCTGGTCCCAGGTCTCTGGTGCCGTATGGCACCACTCACTGGCTCACTGGCCAGTGAGCATTTTAGAAAACTTGAATTTTTCAATGACCTTTAGCATTAACTAGGAGGGCTCTGGCGAGAGCGTGGGCGGTGCTGTAAGCTGTGAGCTCCACCCTGCCGCAAGACACCCACGCGCAACCATTGAAAAAAACAAAAAAAAAAAACGCAAGCCTGAACTTTGGCACTCACCTGCTGCCGGCTGTTGCTGCTCCAGCTGCTGGAGTTGTAGCTTGTTGTTGGCATTGGTGGAGAGTTCCGTGTTCTGGGCCAGCACAGAGGCTGGCACCGCCATCACCGGACCCAGGATCAGCGGGCTCAGTACCAGCATTAGCATCAGCATCAGCATCTGGCCATTGCCTTCCTGCTGTCTCAATGACATTGACAAACGCATATTTCACGTTCACGTGGGATCTGCTCGAATGGAAAGCACTTCACTGGCAAACAACAGGACCAAGCAAGACTTCTTCTGTGTCCCAATTTGAATTGAATGTGTGGGCTATGTGTGATAGGTGGGAGGACGACTCCTTGTCCGGATTGAGGGCTTTGGGGGCTGCTGAGCTGTGCTGAGGTTCGCGCACTTCCACTGTTCTGAATGAACTGACGTCCCAGCGACGCAGTGCAACAGTTTTTAACGTACTGGCCCCAATTTCGTTTTGCAGCCCCAGCTCCGGCCCCCTTCTGTGCCGCCGTCTGCCGTCTGCCTTCTGCACAGAACCTACGTCACTCTCATTGATAAGTTTTGCGACCGCAGCGGCAGCAGCAGCGGCAGCAACGGCCCTCGGACCAGCCAACTGCCAGGCACACTCCACAGGCACAGCACGGCATGGCTCCCTGCCCCAATGACTGCTTACGTAGCTGTTTGGTTCGGCCAACGGGAGCTCCCAATCCGCATGCGCCGTGTCTGCACATGGCTGCGACGCGTCGCCGCTTGGTTAACAGAGGAGTCCATATATACTGTGGATGTATTGGTGTAGGTAAGACTTGCTGTAACAGTCAGCGCATAACAGTGCGTTTCATGAATATACAAATGCCACTTTTAGCTCCATATGACAGTTATGGCCATAAGACTTCCAAAACAAACAAAAAACGTGAGCAGCGGCAAAGGCCGCGACTCTACTTTCATACCTGGTACTCATTTAGCTCCTTCGCAATCTCTCTCAATTTTGAGCACACTTTTCATGAGAGATGGGAAAAACATAAAGAGAAAGAGGGCAACCAACACTGTTCATAAATGTTATAATGTTAATACTTGTCAAATGCCGCTGCTCTACTTTTATACCCGGTACTCTTGCACTCCGTTTATTATCTTTCCACGTAACGACCTACTTGATCAGAGATATAGAATATTTGTATTTGTCTTAACATTTTATGTTTACAATTTGAATCTTGTATATTTAAAATTGTGAACATCAAAGGTTTTACGATATTGTGCGGGCAGTGCTAAATATTGAAATACACTTGTTACTGTGTGATACCACAGAGGTCTGAGTGCAAAATTTGGTTGCTCTAGCTCTTATAGTTTCTGAGATTTATGCGCTTAGCGGAGGGAAAAACGGACAGACATGACTCGGCTATGGCTGCTGATCAAGGAAATATGTAGAATCTACATATAGATATTTACACTCTAGATATATATCTTATACTTCATACTTTCTTAGGTCGGAAACTTTTACTTCCGGGTGTTACACACAGCTGGGAGCAAGCTGCTATAAACATAGGTTTACTTACACTTCATTTGATTTTTAATGATTATATGAAACTCTTACATATCAATAGAAATCGGTATGTGAAGCATTTTAACTGATGCTTAAGTTTTCATAGAGCATCTAGTTAATATGTAAATTGATCAGAAATCAGAAATTATATATCCCCCCCATTCCTTGCTATGCATAATCCGAAACCAAACACTCAGCACTTTGAATACATAAATATGTACAATGTACATGCTGGATCAGCGCAATTCATTTGATTCCAATGAACCGACAAACATGCATAAAATATATATTATGCGAGAGGTTTACTTTTAGTTTGCGATAAGCTAGCGACGACCACGGTATCCACAGCGGCGGCAATGTTTAATCGGACATTATTCAACTTCCTCGTGACGGTTTTTATTGGCCTCTCCCAGCAGGCTCCAGTCGATGATGTGCATGACAATGGAAAGGTGCTGCCCATGACAATGACATACTTCAACAACAGCTTGGGTACGTACATCGAGCACAGGGGACGCGCCTCCGTTATCATGTCAGAATGGACCATCGTTGTCTATTACGATATGCAGCCGCTCCTTGCGCAGATTAAGACATTTTTGGACCACTACGAGACGCTAATGGATTATTGCGGTGCTACTCCCGGGCACTTCTGTCCGATAACACTGCAGTCCGATCGAAATGAGATACAGGGTGCCAGCCTTTATCGTGGTCTGAGCACAAAACTAGACTCAGTGTATGTTAAGCATATCGGCGCTACCATCTCAAGAATTCAAGCCAACGAGGTGAACTTCAGAGACATGCTCACGAATCGAACCTCAGTCATCGACAGCACAGTTAACGTGATGAGAGAAACGCAGGCTTCCACAAATGAACGACTGTCTCTGATTGGGGCACGCATTGAACAGCTTAAATACTTCGAGACCAATTCCTCGATAATTATTTTCCTGACCGAAGAGCTGACTGCGCTGGCTGGCCGTATAAGGCGCACCCAGGATGCCATACTTGATGCAGTAATTCCTGCCCAACAGGGCAAACTTAACCCAATGATACTTTCCGTCAAACAGATGGAGAATGAGCTGAACCTCATCCTGGCCCACCTGCCACAGGACCGTCGACTGCCATTCAACGTTCTTACGCTCGCTGATGTCTATCGAGTGGCCACCATCAGCCACATACAGCAGCTCGAAAGGCATCTGCTATTCCACATCAAGCTGCCACTGGTGGACGTTGAGCAGTTCGATGTCTACCATCTGACGCCCATACCAAGGGTTGCGGTGGAGGCCAGCGGCCTTCACCTGCTGTATACAGAGACGCCCAATCTGGCCATTAGTGACCATTTGGACAGGTACTTCCCGCTGCGGGATGCTGAGTTGGACAGCTGCCTGCAGCTGCAACAGGAAAGATTCCTGTGCCAGCCCCAACAGATCACCTTTGGCCGAGACTCCGGCATGCTGCCGTGCACACTGGCGGCCTTCCGGAATCATACCCAATCCCCGGCATGCAGGCCACGCCATGTGAACCAAAGCTCTCTTTGGATACCGCTCGCTGCGCCCAATCGCTGGATGGTGGCCGTCACCAAGGAGCTCTCCATTATGGGTGTTTGTTCGGATGATCGGCAGCAGCTGCACATCAATGGCAGCGGCATCTTAACCATTCGCAGCGACTGCATCGTTCGAAGTACATCTGTGACACTCCAAGGCATGCCAGGCGCAACAGCAGGGAAGTCCTACGCCTCTCTGACATCCCTAGACGTGGAACCACAGAGTGCTTTGACGCCACAGCCACTGGAGTTGGGGCAGGGCTCAGCGGTGGCCATCATTGTTGCCTGCACTCTCGTGCTGATCATTGCATCCATTTCTCTGGGCTGGTTCTATTACTACCAGCGGCGAGGCCGTGCACAGCAGACACAGAGCCCCGTGGAGGACCATCAGACAAAGAGCAATGGGAGCTGCAACGATCATCCTCTGCTGGAGAAGCCCCTGGGGGAGTGAGTGTGGAGTTGGTGTCCAATATAATACACGTTTATTTGTATGGGTTTGAATTGCAATAAATATTAGTTACTCTCTCATCATCCACATTTACACATTGTAAGTCTCGAGGCTTTTGTTTAAGGTTACCTTTTGGGCTGCACTTAGAACTTTTGAAAATATAATGGGGGCTTGGGGCAGGGAGCAGGCGGACGCTCGGGTGCTCTATGTTACATTTGCCTTGTGGCTTGGCCTGGACCACTTTCGTTTACAATTAAGACTACAGTTTGTCAGCTACTACAAGGAAAAAATTGCCAATTAAAAACTAGTTACAGCGTGAGCGAGGGGTGCCGCACGCATTGCACTTTGTGTCTGTCTGTGTGTTGTTAAATAAAGCTTGTTGGGTGGGGAAGAAAAGCATTTCCACAACGTCTGACGCTGGCATTGGCATCCTACTTGACATTGTCCAGCACCTGCACTATGTGCTTGGAGACCAGAGCCGTGGCCTCGGTGGCATTTGGTATGAGAAAGCGATCCATGTCGGTGATCATCAGCCCTTCGCCATCGGGAAAGCCGTACTTGAAGGTGATCAGATCACGGTGTCGCTTCTTGGCCGTAATCTTGACAATGCTGGCCAGCGGACGACGCACCATAATCTGGGCCTGGCCGCGTCCCAGTTCGCGCAGCACCACCAGCTGCCCGGGCGTGATTATCAGATGGCTGTCGTACATGTAGCCGCTCATGTGCACCTCCTGGCACTTGAACGCATTGATGATGTCTGCCGTTTTGAAATATTGATTCAGATTCACGATCTCCTTGTTGTCGCCCGGCAGCTTGGGTGCATCGCGTTCCGCACCATCGTAGGCGTCCTCGTTCTCATCATCGATGCTGAAGACAGGCGCCACATTGCGATAGCGCTTGCCATTCCTTTCCTTGGCACTCACATGACGCTCCTGGGCCGCCGCCGCCGACTGTGACCCATTGGACACGCCGCTGGCTGCGGGTCCGCTACTCGCACTGGGATTCACAATGATGTCCAGCAGCTTGCCCTTAACCTCGGCGGACTTTGACTTCATGGCAGCAGAGAATTTGCTGAACAAATCCGTGGACGAGGCGGCCGTTGTGGCCTTCAGCGGCACGATTTTCGTCTGCATGAAAAAAGGGTAAGTTTTTAGCAGTATTATTATGCGGGGGGGCATCGCTGGCAGGGCAGTCTGTTACCTGTTGGGAATTGTGCTCCTGGCAGACGAGGCACTTGCGCACATTGTGATCCTCCAGGCAGTCGGCCATGTGGTCGCCAAAGTAGTCGTGTATGGATGCGTAGCCGCCGGTGAGCAAGGACACGTAGTGTGTGTTCTTCTGCAGGAATGAAGCCACCACCATATGTGTGTACTGATCCTCCTCCACGCGTCCGCTGCCCATGAAGCATAGATGCTCCCCGCCGGCATTTGAATTGACCTCGATGGCCTGACGCTGGGCCGTAAGCAGGCCCTGGACGGCGGTGGCAAACGCAACGGGCTCCTGGAGCATCAGATTACAGTCGAGATGGAATGCCGTGGACAGGTGGCCGGCATTATACTGCTCGGCGGGACGGCAGTCGACGAGAAAGAAGCGCACTGCATCGGACACTGGAAACTCGGTGGCCGAATTCTCCACCAACTCGTAGACGGACACGGGCAGGCACAACGCCTGGGACACCTTGTTGGACTCCTCCTGGCTGCGCGGCGAGTCGTTCTGCTTGCCGTACAGCGCCTTCAGGTAGTCTGTCTTGAAGGAGGTCGGCGTCTTCAGCGCATAGTACTGGGCGAGTGAGCAAAAATCCCACACATCGTCCAGCTCCAGGGCGCACGGCATGTTGATGAGGAACTCGATGATCTCCTCCTTGGACGAGGTCTTAATCTGCATTATCTTCTCGCGCCCATTGATCAGTATGATGAGGGCCAGAAAGAAGACCATGAAGGGGTCCGCATTCTGAAAGTAGAGATCCCACATGGCGATTATCACCGAGAGGCTGCTGCAGGAGGCGAACAGGGACTGGAACCACGTCAGCGAGTACAGATCGGGTGTGATCTTTTTGGTGTCGAGCAACGAGCACAGCTCGGGATCGTGGTACTGCAACAGCAGCCGGAACACATGGAAGACATTGCCCTTGGGCTTGCAGCCCTTGGGTATGTAGGTGTCGCGTATCGCCTCGAACAGATTGAATGTGTCCGAGCGGTTGAGCTTGAGGGCGAACAAAGGCAGTAGCAATTCAATCCAGCCATTCTCCGGCTCGTACTGCAGATTGCGGTTCTTGCAGTAGAACGTTATGATCGACTCCAGGTCGGACACCACCGACACCTTGTCCTCCTCATCGTTGCCCATGCGATCCACATGCCGCTGGCAGTCCTCTCGCAGCTGGCTTTGAAACGGCAGATCATAGATCTCGTTGAAGAGCGACATCTGATCGCTTTTGTGGCGCACATCCAGGCACACCTGCCACACATCCGGACGCAGGGCCTCCGGCAGTCCCTTGCCCCGACAAATGCTATATATATCGTTCACATTGCAATCATCCAGCAGCGCCGACTCCAGTTCAATTATCCTATAGCGAGGGAGAGAAAAGATGCATATCAGTACAAATGTCTGGCCTTTAGTCACGGCAGAAAGTGGAGCGGTGACGGCGCCGTCAACGTGTCTAAAAGAGCAGCTGTTTTGCTGTTGGCCTAGCTGATAACGATGCGGCCACTGAAATGATGCCTCTGTTGGGGCTGTCTGACTCAATCGGTAAGAAAAACAAACACTCGCTCTTGTTCTCTCCTCGGTGTGTGTGTGTCCGAAGGGAAGGCCATTTCTAAATTGCTCCAAAATTAAACTAAGAAACATTCCGTTGCTTGCTCATACATTGGGCTGTAGGGCGGACGCTGACGCCTTCCGCTGGCTTTCTGGGTATCGTTAATGGTTTTATTTACCACATATTTTCCTCCATGATGACTCTCCCACCAGGTTGCAATTTATAATTTATTTTTTTTTGTATTTTATGTGTTTATAATGCGCTGCCCTAATGCACTATCTTGCCATTTGGCAGACTCGTCGTGTGCATTTTTAGTTACGCTTCGCTTTAAATTTGAATAACTTTATGGGTAATAATCCAAGTTAATTTGGTTTTTGGATCGAAAGAAACTTTTTTTTTGTCTGTTTTGGATACCAGCAGTGTGACCGCGGACCTATCGAAAAAATATACCCGTCTCACCCTCAAATATATACCGAAATATACCTTCTCTTACAAGCTCGCTATTGTGTTATGACATTAGACTTTGCTGCGAAGAGAGAAAGCATGAGCGACAAAATTAAATTTCCATCACGATTTCTGTATCGTGCACCAAGCCAGCAAAATTGTATTCGCAAGCCAGACTAACGAATATATTTCCCCCGTTCTCACTGCTTCCAAGATCCGAAAACTGTTTGTTTGTAAAACCTGATTATTTAATAATTGTCTAAGCAATTTAGATTTAACTTTGTTTTGGGATAATTCCAAGTTAACAAACTGCTGGAATTGACATAATACAATTTGGAATCGTACTATTTTTGGTTGTGCAAAATTTCTTTTATACAAGCGTCTTTTACTATCGTGTTATTTTTTCTACTGTATATTCTGTTTTTTATTAAAAAATTAACATGTTTTGAATTTATTATGCAGGTTCCAATGCCTCAAAAGCTAGTACCAATTCTCAAATTCTAGGACTCCATTAATGAAAAGGAACCGCGTAGTCTCGTTGGCATCTGTGTACTCTGCGATCGCACTAAACAGATCACGTTCGCGGGCCACAGTCGTTGGGCTAAGCTTGGCCTTCATTACGGTTACAGCTTCAACAAATTTGTTGTAGAAATTTCTTTCCTCAATATCGAGAATATTGTGAATGTCAGCCAGGCCCGAAGGGTTACTGTAAATTACTTGGGACTCGGGCGACTGAACAACAATCCGGGTTATCTTTGATGATAGTATTAAGTAGACCGATGTAGTAAGTTTTCTTGTTTGTAAAGCTACTTTGACGAAGGACCCTGCCATATTCCAGACACCTTTGGAGTTTTCCAGTTTCAGGACCACGAATGTTGGCCGGAACTTTATTTATAAGTTCAGCCACCAACCGTAGACAACTTTCCAGTGTGTTGTCAACATGAACATTGTAACTGGCATTAGTATATTTTAAGAATTCGGCGATGGTCTCGTTATCTGATTGAGGAGGAGCAGCATTACCAAGATCCTGTGAATTCAAATGTTCTAATGTTTCCGTCTTATTATTTATTTGTAGAGAAAAACTCACCACCACAGCCAGAGCCACAGCAAGAGCCAGAGCCACAGCAAGAGCCAGAGCCACAGCCAGAGCCACAGACACAGCAAGAGCCACAGCCAGAGCCACAGCCAAAGCCACAGCCACAATGAGAGGGTAACGCATCTTCGCCAAATGTTTCGATTCGACTGAACATATTTTGGGGCATGCTCAGCGATTCCCTAGCAAGTCTCGGGGGACACTTCATTCCATTAAAGAGCCCTCATGGTTTGAGGCCGTTGCTGCTTGGTTCGAGCCGGGCGATAAGATGAAAGCACTAATTCAATAGCACCACAGCGGTCCTCATCGTGAAGGCAGCTCGACTGGATCCAGGCTTATCTTTGGTTCGAGGAAATTCTGACAAATCAACGTAGCAGCTAATGGAATTCAATTTCAATTGTTGATAGTATCCACAGAGAGGGTACTTTGGGGAACAGAATGTCGAGATCATCGAGCAGCAACAGGAAGAGGATGAGATGAGGAGGAGGAGGAGGTGCTGAAGCTGCCAAAACCCAAAAAACAAAAACAACTGCAACTACAACCTCAAAGTCAAGTAAAACAAAAAAAGAGCAGCAGAAGCAAATCAGTTGACAAAGTTTATCAAAGTTGCAAAAGCATCAAAAGATTTAAATTCAAATCAAATATTCAGTCAAAACTCAGCCAGAACTGACAGCATCGCATATCCGTTTTTGCCATTTAAGTGCGAATTGTCGGTCCATCTGTATCGTAAAGTTTGTAAAGAAAAAGGAACAAACAAAAATCAAAATAAAAACAAAACGAGAAAATTTGCAAAACATTTTATAATTTTAATTTTCATTATACACTCACATTCGTATTTTCGTTTTTAAATGTTATTTATGTATATATTTAGGTATATGTTAAATGGATCCAAGTGGGTAATCCGACAATCATGCGACAGCAGGAGGAGCTCCACATGCCAGACACCAGCCATCCACCCACCCACCTATTCAGGGGAAGGACGATGATGGTATGGTGTGGCTTGTGGTGAGTGGTAGGTCTGGGCTGGGGTAACAAATGAGAATCAGAATGAGTAAAAACGATGCCATGCCACATAAAATCTTACATTAAATTAAATACCAAATAAAATATACAAAAGTTACAAATGACTGAAATCGAAAGACACCAAACAAACAATCAATGGTGTTGCCAGGAAGGAGGAGGAGGATGCCGAATAATAGGATGAACCCTTCCATTAGTGGCTTGCAAATTTCAGAGCATTTTTGTATATATTACTGTAGATTATTGTATTTATTGATCCGGTTTTCACATTCGCAAAGCGCAAAAATTTTAAGATTGCAAAACGGCAACAAATTCCTCGCCGAAATGAAAAGTAAACGACGTTTTACGCAACAAAACAAGTCTTAATTGCCAAAGAACACAAATAGATGACTAATTGATGCATTGACATCAAGTGGACATTATTACCAATGTAATTGAGCTTGTGCCCGTTTTTTATAAATAATTTTATTTAAGCAAGCCTCAAAATTGGATCTGAAATAATTTGTCTGCCTGAATACCATCACAACGGTAAAATATACTGAAATATACCGCAAATATACCGCAAATATACCGCAAATATACCGATATGCCAGAGTGTGTGTCGTACCGTTATAATAGCAGTTATATTCAGAGGTACGGTACGGATAAATGGGCTATACTGTACACAGTATACTGTTTGGTTAGTGGTTTAGTTCGTTTGCTATCCTCGGTATATTTATTTATTTGAATATTTATTTTGAAAATTAGAATGTATATTTCGGTATATTTCTGAGGGTCAGGCGGGTATATTCTGTCGATACTATCCACGGTCACACTGTTTGCCAGCTATTTTGCTATTTAATTAAATAATTTAACTTAAAATATTGCTGTTGGCGCTTAAAATTTAGTACAATAATTATTGGACATTCCCGCGCTGCAGTTGCATTGGTAAACGTAAGTCGAAGGCATAGTTAATGCCATGATTAGCCAATTCCCGCGAAAACACCCACACAAGGACCAGGGCGAGAGCACACACACAGATAGCGCCAAACAAAAACCAAACAATGCAGCCTTCACCTAAATAATGCATCTGCATCTATTGATTTTGCGTGTTTTGTGTGTGTGACGATGTGTGCTGCAGCAACAGCTGTGGCTCCTGCCTACCTACACCTCCTCCTCATCATCATCATCGTCATCGTCATCTGCATTCCCCACCATCTATCAGATCCCCCGCTTAACCATTGCCATACTTTTTTGCTTGCATTTGCGCCACGTGTGACGTTTGCCATTTGCATAGCATCACGTACACACTTCATTCCATTGTTCTACCCATTAATTGCGACTCTCTCTCTTGGCCACATCCAACAGATGAAAACGGGCAGCGGCAACAACAACTCGTTTGGCAATAATAGCTACAACAACAACAGGAGCAACAGCAGCAGCAGGGAGGCAAACCATTCAAACGCCACAACCACCACCGCCACCACCACCGCCACCAACCATGCCCTGGCGCAGCAACAGACAAGAGCCTCGCACATTGTCACCGAGTGGGAGGATGGGATCATCTTCGATGTGGATGATCCGGACTTTTGTAACATAGCCGGCGGCGCGTCCGTGATTGATAAGCTGACGACCGCCACCAGCAGCTGTGCCGTGGCGCTGAGTAATTTGAATTTTATAGGTGAATATACGATTATAATTAGCCCTACCGTATTTATAGTCTAGACATCAGCGTAATCTTTGTTATTTACGATTAGCTAAGGCGAGGAGCGAGACAAACCCCTAAGCTAGTTTCTTGGGGAAAATTTTTGTGTATTTTTTTTGGTTTGCCCTGTCCTCCACCCCACATTTGCACCAGCTGCAGTGGGTCGCTTATCAATCGCACGGTTTTCCCACTCTGCCGCAATGTGACACCGCAGCACTTGGCAGCCCCCAATAGCCAAGCCATGCCCATGCCATGGCTTGGCCCCTTTGTTCGTCCCACTGCCACTCGAGGCATGGAGGCAGGCATTAGGCTTTTGTCTGATCGGTGCGGAAACCGCTGTACACTTTTATTAATGCCAATTGCCGGCCATAGTCTAGTTTATCGCTGAGTGGCAGAGAGCACTTCGTCCCCTGATAATGGCTGTATATAATGCCAAATACCAATGGCTATCAATTATACAAGTTATTAAGCCTTGTCAATAGCCGCGGCAGCAGCACTCTGTCTTCGAAATCGATTCGCTATAAATTTAGAGGCATTTCGGTCTGTTTTTAGAAACAGCATTCCCCGAATATGATGTACAGCCCCAGCCCAGCCCAGCCAGCCAGCCATCCATCCATCATTTACGTGCTACTGGAAAAACTGTCTCTTCCCCAATATCGGTTAACTAATTGTTTTGTCTGCTTGTTTATCTGCGATCTGATTAGCCTTATAAGCGAAGCGTGCGAGCCGCCTATTCACACGTTTCGCTTGTCAGCAAGAATTTGCGAAATTCACGCGTTTATCATGTGACTCCAGTCCCGGATCGGTTCGGACCCCGGACCGGACAGGCCTCTCTCTCTCTCTCTCTCTCTGTCGCTCGCTCTCTGTATCTGTATCTGGCGAAGTGGGTGCCAAAAGAGTGGGCAAATATTAGTAATCGTGTTGGGGATTATGCCGCATAAGGTCGGTCAGGCACGATGTCATTTCATGAGAGTGGAATATTTTCTTTTGGAACACAATAGCAATTGGTTTATGGCTAGCGTGAGCTGTTTTTTATGCGTGCATAACATTAGGGAGGTTCGGCACGTGTCGCTCATTAAAGGTCTCTGGTAATTGAAAATACTATACAGCCTCAATGGATAATACTATACCAGCTGGAGGCAGTGCGTGTGGCTCTGACCCTGACCATTGGATTGTCGAAAGATC